AGGGAGTGGTTATGCCCATGCAATTTGTAATCGTGTTCGCACCCTTTCTTCATGTCGTTTTGACATTTCCATGGTGCTGAAAAAGAGTCACGCATAAATAGAAATATCGCATTGTACGCTATAGTTTGCATGTTTTGTACAACTATCTTTTTATGAGTTCTCTAAAAACCAGCAATGTACAGTGTATAAATTGCAATGTTATGCCAATCAGTAGTGATATACAGCCTCAAGGAAATGTCGCGCGTCAACCGTCTGATTATTTCCACGCCAGTCAAAGAAAATTACTTTTCATTCACAATCTGGCCAATATAATGTACGTAGTTATTTACCTTGAAACCAAAAATACACTCTTAACTAAATAGGTATTTCTTTTAACAAAAACATGACTGAATTACAGAGTAATCTTAGTAGACATGTTTCAATCTTGAATATTTTATAAAATATAAAAATAAATTATTCAAATAAATACAAAATTTAAACTGTAATGTTATAAATTCAAGTATACAGAAATTAATGAATTTCTTATTTCAATAGCAGTTCTAAATAAAGTTTAACATAAAAAAAAAAAACATTTTTTATAACTTTATTATGTTACGCGCTTATGCCCGATATTCATAATTCTTTAATATATCAGTGGAGTTTAATTCCGTATTAATACTGTATTAATTTAGAAACTAAAGTTACTTTTTCTTTACTCTTTAAGGATCTAAAATCACTTGTTGCGAAAAAAAAAACCTTTTGTGAACACAGGAATACGCGTTTAAAAATTAAAGGTACATATTTTGAATATACAGTAGATATTTACGAAACAAGGCCAAGGCCTAACTACAGTTGCCAATTCGTCTGCCAAGTGTGGTAACTATTGGTAAATAGAAAGATGCCTATGTACAGCATGTTACGCCCTATTAAAAACTAAGTAAATCAATAGTTACAAGATAGTGGGGATTTTTTATTTTTCTATTTTATAAATATTTAATAAAATTACGCATTCCACAGAATTCACATTTTATGTAATGAAGAAAACACATATTGTGGCTTTCCGGTGAAAATGTGTGTTTAGAATTTTCCTATAGTTTCTTTAAAAAAGTACCCCTTTTGTAGAAAATAAAATCAACTCGAATAATAGAAGTATGAAGTTTGAACGAAGATCGTCTAAAAAAATGTACTACACAAGTTTGACACATTATTATAAAAACTACTCCATTTCATGACGATTCTAAAAATGTACAATACTGTGATATCAAATCACAAATACAAACGTCACTATTATACATAAAAATCACTATTAAAAAATACTACCGAATTGACAACTTACTTCCTTTTGAAAGAGTTTGAAAAAAAAATTACCAAAGAATCTCTGTATCAACATTAAGCTATAAAATAGTAAATGTAAGTTTTCAAAATTAAATTTCTTGGTATTCTTTACTTATGTAACTGATGCAAGAGGAATATAATTTAATATTTTTGTTGTTTATATTGTATTTTTTACATTGCACTGAATAAAATATTTTTCTTTCTTTCTTTCAAAAGAAGAACGGACTTGAATCTTGACAACATCATCTTGTAAGGGTTGTATGTTGACACGCAGGTAAAAATTATTGCGTATCATTCACATAAAAAATACAGAGCCATCTTTGATCAGTCAAAGATTTTTTAATCGATCACTATTCATCGCGCCATCTAACGGGTGGTTTACTATTACGCTTGCCCGTTCTAATTATCTGTGTACTAAAATTTGTTTATGTATTATTATCATTAATAATACACTCATTGTCAATGTCAATTGAAACTTATATTTTGAAAGCACGAATGATATTAACTTTCGAAATGAAATGAATTTATTTTCCTAGAATATAGGTAATTTTAGATGAAAGAGGTTTACATGTCCCGTATACATTCAGCCGGCGCTATGTCGGCGTGCAAATTTTTTAACAATATGAGAAATTTACATATATTCTACATTATTATTTCTTTTCATTTGTCATATAATACATACATAATTTATTATAGTGTGTTAAATAGTATTCAGGTATCGTTGTAATATATGTTATATAATATATGTAATATATGTTGTTATGTTGTATATAATATAGATTTGTTAGGAGTAATATAATAGAAACAATAATCATGTTTTTTTTTTTAAGATACCTTATTTTTCTTTATTTTAAAAATAATATTTCTATAGTACGTAATTTCCTTGTGTCAATGACAGTGCCATCTAAGTTTTGATTTTGTAATCAAATGTTTATAGTTTATTCTATATACACAAGATGGCGTTAGTACGCTTTATTATAGTATTTCATATATTAGGAATTATTGTCGACCTTTTATTTCAGTACATATGGATATCCTATATGTAAGTCTATTATTCAGCAATTAATTTTTTCAGCTATTACTTATTGTAATAAGATACCTAAACTGGGAATCAAATCCCAAACTATACATTAATACATCAATTTATAATTACTAAATTGGTACAAGTAATGCCATCTAGTTTAAAAAAGTAAGTCTTAATAATATGGGTTCTGATATAATTATAGTCCACGGTCGAACCTCTATTTACTTATTTCTTTTGATAAAAAGTACGTTGTCTTTCTTCATCTGAAATACTATATATGTATTTCAAATTTCACGAAGATAGTAACAAGCAAAACAGATAAACTCACTTTTACATATATTAGTAAAGATAATTTTTGTGTGGATTTTTTTTATGAGCGCCACCGTTTGCAGACAAGGGTGAAGATGAAGTCAGGTCATTTCACTAATCGTGAATCGACAACGATAGTTTCCAGAGAGAACCTTATAGTGACCAACTTTATATTTCTAGCAATAACTAAACCTCATTACTATCTAGTTAGACTAGCTAGTAGACATCAAATTAAAGGCGGGAGGAGATGGAGAGGACCAGAGGGAGACTTTGTACAAAAGTCGATTGCTTGGGTACCTCTGTCCTATTCGTGTTTCTACCGTGAAGCAGTTATGTTTGCATAGCTGTGTTTCAGTTTGAAGGGTGGGATATGGTGTAAATTTACAGGGTACAGAGGAATATCATCCGAGTCCTCAGGAATGGCAACACATGGGAGGTATCATGGGCGAAACAGTATACTCTGTTATATCCATGGTACTACTTATGTCTATAGGCGACGGTTACCACTTTCCATCAGGTGGGCCGTCAACTTGTTTGCCTTTCTAAGTTGTATAAAAAAAATGTGGTGGTCCCGCCTTTTTAATACATACAAATACATAATTCTTTTTAAATTAAATTCTAATCTCTTTCGCCCAAATAACTGTATATTATAATGTGTTAGACTTGATATTATTAATTGATAAAATTTATTACTTTTTTTATAAAATCATGCATAATTTCAGAAATAATTTATAATATTTTTTTTATAAATGACTAATGACAGAATACGAAAATATATCCCTTAATCTGGTTTTATTCCGAATAAATATTAACTGAAGTAGTATAAGATAAATTCCCAACATATTGAAGCAGAAATTATTGTTCTATGTAACGTAGGAAATATCTACTCGTAACTTAGAAAAAAAAAATACAACGATTTGTGTTTCCGAACAAACAGTTTATAACTATTCCATCCAAAGGTTGCCTGGAAGAGATCGCTTTTAGCGATAAGGTCGCCCATTGTTTTATCAGAGTAATATTTTCTTGTAGTTATTTGTATTTATTAATAGATAGATAAACTTTTTATTTGAGCCATTTATGACACAAGTAAATTTACAAATGAGTTTATACAATCAAATTATTTACACTTTTTAAAATATACAACAAAAGATAAAATATGAAAATATGGTTTCGCCATGTGTGTCGCAGTGACCCAAATAGGCTACAGCTCAGTGATGGTTTTGCTTAAAAACAAAGCACTGATTTTCAGCTGCTATTGTAATTTTTTTAGAGGAAACAATAAAGAGTATCTATTAATTTTATAAATGTTAGTTAGAAGGTATTAGTGGTTAAACATCAATTTAATAACTGTAACATACTAGCTTTAAATGTTCTTGGAAAATTTACAAAAAAAATATATTGTTATTCTTGTGTTAATGAGTAATTCTTAATGAGAGTGTACATCTAAATCCATATGTCACTTAGCTTAGGACAAACCCAATTGGAACTCATTAACTAATCATAGACAAATGGATGTTACTTATCTCCGCTATAAATAACAATAACTGGTATTAACTAGAATTGTTTCAATTTGTTATGATGGCGGAACTGCGCTACACTGAGATTGTTTTTAAGATAAGAACGTACATAATGCACGATGCGCAGTGATTCCAGCAATAGATAAATTCATTTATCATCTTTTATTACAATTTAAATTGTAAAGAGCATACGGCCCGCCTGATGGTAAGCGCCTACTCATTAATGCTTGCAACACAAAAGAGATACTGTACAAATGTCATTTGCATGGGTGCCTCTGTTCTACTCGTGTTTCTGCAGTGAAGCCTGTATGGCTGTGTTCAAGGTACAGAAGCTTATGGGGTACCATGGGCATAATAGTGTACAAACCTATTTAAACTATTATAGTGTTTTGTCACTTTCTCTATAATTAAGAATTTAGTACAAAAGAAAGAGACAAAGTTCTTCAATAGCTAAAATAGGTTTATAAGATATTTGACCTTTTTCAACCGACTTCAAAAAGAAGCAAGTTCTCAATTCAGTTATATTTTTTTACGCTTGTGACAAATTCTAAATAGTTTATAGAAAACTCTTTTTCTTATCTGAAAGGACAGATTGGTCCCATAGAAATTTTATCAAAATCGGTTCAGTAATCCAGTTTTTTAGTCAGGAAATTTCATTATTATTTTTTTTATTTCTACATGCTATGAATATCAAAGACGAGCCTTTAAAAAAATACTTAAAGATAAAAAAAAATCTTTGAGATCACTGCCAACTGGTAGAGGACCTAGGAGACTTGCCGCATTTCCACACTGAATAACTATGGAAATGCGTTGACCATTTTTTATTGAATTTCCAGAAATGGCGGTCGAGGGTGTAATGGTTTCATACAACTACTCCGATGGCGGTGAACACGCGAACATTCTCACAGTATCCGCTTCAGGGATCAAGTTCTCCAACCGCTGGGTACTTACGCACGGTTCCATTCTGTCACCTTTGAAGCAAGCCCGCGTACTACAAAAATCAAGGGGCAAGCCGATATTAAACGACGAATTTTACAAAGACCTCCCAGAGATTCATGTAACCTGTGAGAAGAAGCATTCAAAAGTGCCCGCCGTGTATGAGGGAGTCGAGAAACTGAGCAGAGAGAGGAATTTGGATAATGACGCTGACTTTGAACATATCAGTTATCAGATAAGCGTTCTAACGGGCAGGTGACATTATTCACTATTTGTTTTTTTTTTTTCTTAGATAGGCAAACGAACTGACAGATAGTGAATTTAGCATAAGAGATAAAGACAAATCACTTCAAAAGTCGTTTGCTTGGATACCTCTGTCCCATTCGTGTTTCAACCGTAAAGCAGTTGTGTTTGCATGGCTGTGTTTCGGTTTGAAGGGTACAGAGGAATAACATCCGAGTCCTCAGGAATGACAACGCATGGGGGGTATCATGGAAGAAACAGTATATTCTGTTATGACAATGGTTACTGCTCATGTCTATAGGCGACGGTTACCACTTTCCATTAGGTGGGCCGTCAGCTTGTTTGCTATTCTAAGTTGTAAAAAAAAACTTCAATAGGTAAAACACCAAAGAGTTTGGATTAAAATTATGTTATTCTTTGTTCCTAATAAAACATAAGTAGGTTCATGAGACGATGTTTTTATGAATAAGAGCCTTATTCATAAATTAAGAGCATTACGATAATTATTTTTCTACGTTTTTATTGTATTATATGCTAAAATTATATGTATTTAAGGGGATATTTTACCAACTTTTAATAGAAGGTAAGATAGAAGGAAGGAGGGGAAGAGGGAGACCAAGGCATAGTTACATCAGCCAGATCAAGGAAGGAGGTGGTGTCGTGTCGTATCAAGAGGTGTAGAGGCTCGCTGAAAATCGTAGTGAGTGGCAAGAGCTCCACCGACAAGAGCGCAGCTCTTAAATAGGATGGATAGATAGACAGCTCTGTTCCCGGCTATCCGCACTACGTCATCCGACTATCATCAATGTCATCATCAATGATCTACCAACTGTTTCCTACACCTTACTAGGCATATTCCTATATGGCCTTGGACTGTCATCCATCTATCCTTCAGTTACTACTATTATAAATAACTGTAGTACTATTTATAAATAACTGTATCCTGCGGCTTCGCCCGTGGTTGTATAATCATATTAAGTATGCCTATAGCTTCTCTCGAGAAATGAGCTATAGTGACTACTGCATTCAGTCACCAATCTTGCTTGCAGAAAGATTCTATTAATCTTGCAGTTGAAAGACAGAAGGAAACTAATGAACAGCAATCGACAATAACATTTAATCAGTATTTAATATTTTACATTAAGAAGGATTCGTAAAGACAGAAAGATAGATGTAAGATAAACTAAAACTCAAACGTCACAATGTTTCTAAATTATGCAAACGAAAAAGAGTCTTAATATTATATTGTCGTAAAAATTGTTGGCGCGGTTAAAAGGAGGTAGCGGAATGAATCGCTACAGAGTTATAAAAGCCAAAAATATTTTTTCAAATCCGACAGGTAGTTCCAGAAATTAGCGCGTTAAAATAAACTCTCTTCTCTTTATTATGTAAATGTACATAAAATTGGTTCTTTCCAGAATATGTCATGTGTGGCAATGCCCCATTTTGGATCGGTGCGTGGACGATATCCTGTACAGCTGGACCATCGGCCACAGAGACGGCGATGTAGACACACAGTCCCAATTAGGGAAGGCACTGCTGTCTGTTTTTGTACTTGTCGACTTGGAGAGTGAAGACAGAGGTATGTTAAATATTTTGGTTTTAGAACACTAGCTGACCACAAATGCATTCAAAAGGAGAATTGATTTTGGTCTTCTTAATGGGTAATGATGGAATGATTACCCCACCTGCGCTAGTTGTATAATGCTGGCAGGTCATCAGTGTGAGATGATAGGTGAGAATGAAAGGGCAGGTCAATTAGTCCATCGTGATTAATACACTTGGAATTCGTCACGATAATTTCCATGGGGACCACGTGGAGGTCGACCTGATAAGGTATATTGTTAGAAATGGAACTGGTAGTCCGCATTACTAATAATCCCATCCCCAAATTATTTGGGGATGATATAATGTTTTTTATCCAAATTGCGCAAGGTTTTGGTTTTTAAGGATCGGCCATCTGCCTGTTCCAATTTCATTATCCATTCCTTATACATTCCATTGTCATCTAAACAGTTGGGATAAGAGCAGAAAGTTGATGATGATGACTAGCTGACCCGACAAACTATTTTTTTAACGGAATAAAAACTGTCCTATCTGTCAAGTTCCAACAAACAATATACATTTACGAAATTTTATTAAAACCGGTTCAGAGAGGTCTCTCAAGATTAGCGTCAACATCATCGTCGTCAATAGCGTCGTTTATAATATCATCATCAACCGTTAACTGTCCACTGCTTACACCAAAGGCTTTTAAAGATTTATGAAAAAATAATTTATTATTTAATGGAATTTTTAACATTGTGGTCGATTCTGTGTTGCCATTTCTCTAAACCGATCTTTAAAATTAAAATTTTAATTTGATATAACAACGAAATATTTATTCTAAGAACCAATATGAACTTAATTTCTTGAAGTTTTAAGTCAAAATGATTTAACATTTAGTTTATAGACATCCATAAAACAGTAATTTGGCGAAATTATCAAATTAAAATATTAGTTCAGGAGATAAATTTAGGGAATTGGCAACACAGAATCGGTCCCATTATCTCTGGTAGTATTACAAGAGCTTGAGAAAATAAATACATATATATTAGGCAAAATATAGTCATTTTATTTTTTATTCAGTGATATTTATATAATAATTATGTATATAATTCATTTATTGTTATTTCTCGTCTTGCTGGCCGCATGTGTGACGCATATCTGTCATGACAAAACATAAAAAACCTTGTTATATTTTCAAACGACTTCAAAAAAAAAAAAGGTGGTCCTTAATTCTGTTCTTTTTTAAGATTGTTACCTCATAACTCCGTCAGTCCTAAACCGATTTGAAAAATTCTTATTTATCTGAAAGTACATATATACTTACAAATTGGGTCCATAGAGATTTTATGAAAATCGACTACAGTAGTTTGGTTTTAAAATTCAAATAAAAGATTTTTCCACAACTGACATTGTTTTTGCCTTGTGTTTATTATCACAATTGTATCTAGGGAATAGATAAAAATAAAAAATTACCATCTCTCGGATCCGCAACCAGCGAGTAATCCCACCTCCACGTCCTAACACTGTTCATATGGGATGGCGGATTGGGTATCAGATCGTAGCAGTTGTCAATTGAGTGTTTCTTTATCATGCCTATAACTCCAAGCGCCAGGCCGCCCAGCAGTACCGCGTGCTTGCTGCCTAGGTACGCAGCAGCGATAGGGCCGCAGGAAAAACCACCTAAAACATAGGTTTATTGAATCGAAGAGAAAAGAAGGGTGGAAGGAAAAAGAAGATTCTCAAGTCGGTTGTATTTTTTTTTTAATGTTTATTACCTCAAAATTCAGTTGGTTCTAAACCGATTTGAAAAATTATTTTTTTATCTGAAAGAATATATTTATAGATTATTTACAATAAAAATGTTATCAAAATCGATTTAGTGGTTTAGTTTTAAAATCAAAATAATTTGTTTTATCACAATTGAAGTAGGTCTTTTGTGGGACATAATGTTTTGTTTGTATGAGCTTTAATTGTATTATTATTATTATTGTCTCATATTAGACACAGATATTAGATTATAAATAAAATGGCAAGGTAACAACAAGCGGACAAGATATTTCTTCCAATCAAGTATTTAGGCTAAGATATTACTTACAGGAAACTTTTAAAGTCTTTAAGATATACTTCATTTTAATGAATGAAAATGAGATGGTATCCTCGTCTGCGCTAACGGTATACACTGGCGGTCAGGTCGACTTGACAGAGTGCATTTTTACCAATGGGACTTCTAATTCCCATTACTAACGATCATTCCGCCCCTCCGATGGGGCACCGTTGGAAGATGTTAGAAGAGAACGATGATGAGACAAATCAGTTGAAATCGCCCATCAAATAAACCATCTAGGAGGGACCGAGGGGGCAAAACTAACCCTCTCATTACATACAATCTCCCCCCCCCCCCCATCCTATGAGATGGCATTATCCCAAAACGAGTAGTAAATAATTCATTACGATTCACGTATTAATTCTGTTACTTTGGCGCCATCTTGTCTCTGATTTCTAGATCGATAAACTGTTTATCAATTAGAGTGTGTTTTAAAAATAAATAAATTACCTAAATAGTAAAAATTATCTAAATAGTGAACGTAATTTAGCGGATTATTTTATCTGTTGAATTACGAATACGTCCAAACGTATACGATCTATTATGAGCTATAAATTCGTTATCACGAACAATTTAAGGTTATCATGGGAGACTGGCGCCCTCTAGTCTCGAGAGTTATAAACTGTACGCCACTATTATATAAATTGTAAGCGTAATCTAATTTACATAATACTAGCCGGGACGGGCCCGGCTTTGCGCGGGTGGACATTTTTACAACATTTTAAAAAGTAATTATTGTGACATAACGATAATAGTTGGACATATAGTATCGCAAAGTTTTTTGTAGTTATTGATATTTTCTTCAATATTGTAGAACATACTTTTGTTCTATCACCAATAGTTTCCGTAGCGCACGCGACGAAAGATATTTTATAACATTTTTTACACCTTGAGTTACGTTACTAAAGTTTTAGTAAGGATCCCTAATCTTTTCTAGCAATAAATATAGCCTATGTTACTCACGGTGAATGTAGCTTTCTAATGGTAAAAGAATTTTTGAAATCGGCAAAGTAGTTTTTGAGTTTATTCATTACAAAGGTACACACATAAATACAAACCTTTCCTCTTTATAATATAAGTGTAGATAAAATTGTGTTTCACAAAAAAAACTACTTCATTTGTGGTATAACCAGTTTTTTTTTAAACCAAAGAACCAATTCTGATAAAATTGCTTTGGGACTATATTAGTCCCATGTATGTAGCAAGGAAAGGGATTGTTAGTAAGATAGTCTAACAGCACCATTGCTAGCAATATACTCATTAGTCCTCAGGAATGGCAACGCATGGGGGGTATCATGGGCGAAACAGTATACTCTGTTATGTCCATGGTACTGCTCATGTCTATAGGCGACGGTTACCACTTTCCATCAGGTGGACCGTCAGCTTGTTTGGCATTCTAAGTTTGATAAAAAAAAACTCTATCAGGTCCACCTCCACGCGCTTCCACCTGAAAACCGTTATTGTTAATTCTTGTGGAATTAGCCACCATGGGCCAACTGACCTTTCATTCTCACCTATCACCTCTCACTGGTGCCGACGTATACTAGTATAATATTATCTGTGCTATAGCGCAGATGGAGTTACCATTCCATTTTCACCCATTAAACAAAATCTGTATGTACCTATATCCTTTGACGGGTTATGATAAATACTCATAAATGGTCATAAATAATGTAGAATGGGCCACCCCTTCCTTTCCCGTGAGTGTCGTAAGAGGCGACTAAGGGAGGGCGAGGGTTGGGCAGCAGCTTCCCTCTTAAAACATCTCTAAAAGCCTAACTACGGTTGCCAAGCCGCCTGCCAAGCGTGGCAGCTACTGGCAAACTCCCCTTAAGGGGAAGGCTTATGTCCAGCAGTGTCAGTACCAGGATCAGATACAAAATTATAATTAAACGTGACTGACAGACATAGCTATCATGCAAGATTAGCGCCTTACTACAACATACTTTATTGGAGTTCTCTGGGACATTTTCATCGCCTAAATAATAGCGTTACAGTTATATTACTAACCAATGAAGTAGTTCCAAATATCGTCCACTTCGCGCGCCCTCTGCACGCCGTTGGCGACCACTGCGAAGGTCGCACCCATTAGTCCCAGCGGCACCGTGTGGTACATATACCTAAAAGTTTAATAAGGATTAATAAGGGTATTAATGGATAAATAAGCATCAGAGGGAGACTTTGTACAAAAATCGATTGCTTGGGTACCTCTGTCCCATTCGTGTTTGTACCGTGAAGCAGTTGTGTTTGCATGGCTGTGTTTCGGTTTGAAGGGTGGGATATGGCGTAAATTTACCCCTGGATACACCCTTCAAACCGAAATAATAATAATATCTGAGTCCTCAGGAATGGCAACGCATGGGGGGTATCATGGGCGAAACAGTATACTATGTTATGTCCATGGTACTGCTCATGTCTATAGGCGACGGTTACCACTTTCCATCAGGTGGGCCGTCAGCTTGTTTGCTATTCTAAGTTGTATAAAAAAAAATCTTTGGAGGAGGTCCTAACGCAATTTGGGGTTCTTGCATAGAGAGACAATATTATGTATCTACATATATACACATAAAAACTAATTAACTAACAATCAATTTAAACTACCTTATTAACATACCTAGTATAAATAATATGGGGGGAAAGGGATTGTTAGTAATAGAGACTGAGAATCCTATTGCTAGCAATATACCCAACCAGGTCGACCTCCTCGCAGTTCCCCCTGGAAACTACCATGGTTAATTCCTGATGAATTCATCATGATGGGCTAACTGGCCTGTTTTCATTCTCATCTATCACCCTTCACTGTTTCCATTATACAAGAGATGATTTTGAAATAACAATGTAATTGTAAATTATTAGGTTTTTTATAACAAAAATAATATTCTACTTTTTTTTTAAAAAAAAAATAACATTCTTCTAGTAGCGTAAAAAAATAATTTAATCATTGATTTAAAAATAGGGATAATGGAAACAAATTATGAAACGACAGAGAGCTCCTTAACAGGCATAGTGCATAATACAACCACTTTTTTTGTCTTAATTTTAATATATTTTAAGAAACAGATCTTAGGTATACATTGTACAGGAAAAATTAAAAACACACCATATTTAAAAATATGTTTTAATGCCAGTGCACATGGCGCCTGATTAAGGGTTAAGATGTTTTTGTAGCGACGTTCTTTATCCACTCAGAGTATATAGTATGGTTTCCAAAGAAGATATATCGTTTATATATGAGTGGGCTATAGTCACATATTAAGTGTTGCGGCGTTTCTTTCTCATTGTGACAAAATCTGCAAACACTTTTTGGGCATAAGTCTATTTTTATTTTACAACACAGGGGGCGGCTCACCTGGTGGTAAGTGACTACCGCCGCCCATGATCACCCACAACACTAACAGCATTGCAGGTGTGCTGCCGGCCTTTTAAAAAGGAATATACTCTATTTGGCCAAATGCCTCCGTAGTAGCCTGCAATTTACTGCCATATCCTGCCCTAAAAACTGCCCTCAAACTAAAACACAGTCATGAAAGCACTAGGGATGAATAATACATAGCAATATCTATATGTTGTAGTTATAATATCTATTTGTTGCTTCAATTACGAAAATGTTAAAAATCTGTTGTCCAAATAATAATATTGTATAACAAACTCTTAACATGCCGCTACTGTTCATCTCTCAACTATTTAGTTCCCTTAGTCGCCCTACGACACCCACGGGAAAGGAAGGGGTGGCTTCTATGCCGGGACCACACTGCCCAATGAATTGACATTGGTCGTCACAGAATACACTAATCGTTTCACCAGTTTCCGTACCCTTTTGGATGTACCAACATCATTGCACCAGCTTTCTTAATAATCCTTTAAACTGTAACAATAATAAACATTTAAATTCACCTTTTCAATATGGGTCCAAAGCCGACTGCGTGTGAATACATCATGACATCGTAGGTGGACATTATGAGACCCGTGATGATACCGTAGCGAGCTGTAACCATTGCCTAGAAAAATCATCAAATATATATATAGTTTTTTTTTTGATGGGTGAAAATAGTATGGTAACCCCGCCTGCGCTAACGGAATACGCTGGCGGAGCACCAGTGACGGGTGATAGATGAGAATGAAAACAGGCCAGTTAGCCCATCATGATGAATTCATCAGGAATTAACCATGATAGTTTCCAGGGAGAATCGCGAGGAGGTTGACTTGGTTGGATATATTGCTAGCAATGGGATTCTCAGTCTCCATTATTAACAATCTCTTTCCCCCCTATATATTTAGTATTAGATAGATAGATAATTTATTTACATTACTTACAGTACACAAATTATAATACAAACATACACCACCAGAGGGAGACTTTGTACAAAAGTCGATTGCTTGGGTACCTCTGTCCCATTCGTATTTCAACCGTGAAGCAGTTGTGTTTGCATGGCTGTGTTTCGGTTTGAAGGGTGGGATATGGCGTGAATTCACTGGGTACAGAGGAATAACATCTGAGTCCTCAGGAATGGCAACGCATGGGGGGTATCATGGGCGAAATAGTATACTCTGTTATGTCCATGGTACTGCTCATGTCTATAGGCGACGGTTACCACTTTCCATCAGGTCGGCTGTCAGCTTGTTTGCCATTCTAAGTTGTATACAAAAAAAAATACACAGGAAAAGAGATAAAAGAATGAAAATAAAAAAGCAACACAAAAAAAAAAAAACAAAAAGCAAAATATATAAACCAACAATTTCCTTTCTTACTTTTCCTTCATGCGTGTGCCATAGTAACACAAAATGGTCATAATTCAGTTTTTAATATAAACCTTGCGTGGTTTCTGAATGCTAATGTAACATAATTTCGACTAATCCCCCCCCCCCCTTCCCATCGATACAAGTTCATCACTGTAGAACGTAATACCATCATCATGATAACATGGGGTCTACCATAAAATGAAATTCCGAATTTTCGAGCTCAACTTCGTGTTTTTATTCGTAACGAAATCGACCCAGTAAATGGAGCTTAACATTTCGTTTGTCATAAATCCTACCATACAAGTTCAAAGGAACGATATTTCAGCATTTTAAATATTTTTAAACGGTACGTATTATGTAATCTTAGTATCAAATTTTTGTTTCGTTCGGATCCGAAATTTCGGAAAACATTTCATGGTAGGCCTTCTGATTACCAATTGATCTGAAAACTATCCAAAATTGGAGAATATTAAAAATCAAACTCCATGGCCCTTCTGTTGGAAAAATGTATTTATAAAATAAATGAATTTTAGAAATATAATAACTGTGAGTTATGTATAGTTACTTGTTTTTTCACTTAAATTGTTATTATTATTAATTCATTATTTGTATGTGACATTGTTTATATGTAAAAATTGCTGCTTGTTTGTAATTTTGCAGCTGTACAGTATAAAAAATCTATAGTATTCGACACAATGTAATATTATTATAGAATAAATTGAATTAAATTGAATTGAATTGATATCAGCCGTGTGTCTACTGCTGAACATAAACCTCCCCCTGGGGGGATTTTACCAGTAGTTGACACACTTATCATTGTTATCAACACACTTATCATAGGTTATTATTGTTTATCAAACCCTCGAGCTACGTAGCCAAAATTACTATAACTTGCTAATCTTTCCAACTATGACGAACAGTCGTAATTTTGCTGATTTTTAACAGGTCAATAACTATACCCAACCAGGTCGACCTCCTCGCGGTTCCCCCTGGAAACTATCATGGTTAATTCCTGATGAAATAATTCATGATGGGCTAACTGGCCTGTTTTCATTCTCATCTATCATCCTTCACTGGTACTCCGCCAGCGTATCCCGTTAGCGCAGGCGGGGTTACCATACCATTTTCATCCATCAAAAAAAAAAAAAAAACAGGTCAATAACTTAATTGACGTAATAATAAGATATTAATGATGTAATTAGTTTTGATTGTACTAGCATTTGTTTTTATGATAACGAAAGAAATAATTATAAATGGATTGACGATAAATTGAGAACTCACACCCTTGAATTGCGTCACTTGTCACTAGCGACACAATGGTCCAATACTGTTCTGATGGATGCATGTTGGTGCAACTTGCCAATGCAAACTATTGTAAACCGATCCTAATTGTAGCTAATTCCTAACTGTTGTTACATGAGTGCAGTATTAAATGAAGTCGTACGTTCGGTGACTCTCCCCAAAATTTTTTTTTTGACAAATTTTTCAAATTTCATTTTATAATGATTTAGCATTGAAAAATATATACAACCTCTAATTTTCACTGTTTTACGATCAACGCCTGTTTGTTAATCGCTATTTTTATAATCCATAATAAGGTTGCAAGATGGCGATCGAATATTATAATTGTAGTACGATAAATTTTCATGTATAGTTCTCGAAATAATGTATATGGTAAAACAACGTTTGCCGAGTTAGCTAGTATACTTATATAGGATAGGGAAGACAACTTTTTATCCTAAAAAATGTTTATAAAATATCAAACCTTTTTTGGAATATCACATCCATCAGGAGTATCGTAATATCTGTAATAGTTACGGGAGTCCTTACTGCATTGACAATCCATTATTTTAATCCTGATAATAAACTATATTGTTTAATTTTTGACATTCACAATTCATAATGAAAGATTCTATCTTCCATAAATAATTGACAAAATATTCAAATAAGGAATTAGGTAATTACAAGAAACAATCGTTGATAGTTTCAACAAAGGAGTATGATTATATTAATATTTTTTGTTCTCATTTGTGATGAAATGTGTAGGTATGTGCTTGAAAATTTATTAAGCAAATTTCTACCTTATTACTAATAATAGAAGGATTATAATTAACAATATTATATAGGTATATTTTAAAAAGACGTCACAATTGAAGTCTTTTTGGCACAATCTTTAATTATATTGTAATATTATTATATACTTCATTCTCGGCTAATTTGCCGGTTTTCTCAGACAACCCGTCCCAAAAACCTTTGGAAAAAAGAAAGCTGAGATCCCAACCCCTTTTATTATATTATTATTATTATTATGCAGCTGATATAGCCGTTAACTGTCCAGTGCTAATCTAATAATAATGCCCGCATTGTACGCCGGTTTCTCTCCCTGGGGCCTTAAACCCTGGCCGAATGTGCTTTTGCCGGGGGCAAGTTTGCCATCTCGTCTCCTTAAGAGGGGAGATGTGAATTTTCTAAAAAATTAAATAATAATAAACTCTTTATTGCGCACAGTAGAGATGTATACAAGGAGTGTTTATACAGAATGTGCATATACAAAAGGCGGCCTTATCGCTAAAAACAATCTCTTACATAATTATAAGGATAAGTACAGAGAGAAAGGTAGATGGCGCAAGTCAGACACAGTAAATATTATATTGTATTACTGTGATACTGAAAAAAAAAATTAAAAACCTAATAATGTTTTCAACGAATACAATAAAGCCGCCCATTGTTGCATATTTATCTTGCTTTTATGTGATTATGTTTTTGTAAATATTTTGTTGTGTAATTATTATTAATGATTATAATCTGTATCATAATTGATTTATTCAAAATATGTGTTTATCTTGTTTCAGGTTTAAAAACGTTAAGACCGTTATCAGAACTGCTAGACTTGGTGAAGCCGGCGCCCGAGCGAGGAGCTTCTGTTGAAGTCCATTCTACGCCATTTGGTTGTGAAGTTAGTTTAGTATTTAAATTATCTATCCTATTTAAGAGCTGCGCTCTTGTCGGTGGAGCTCTTGCCACTCACTATGATTTTCAGCGAGTCTCTTCACCATTTAAATATACAGTGAGTGTAAAAAGTATTCGTACACCTAGGGTTATAATAAAAAAAATACGAATTTGATAGACTTTCCTCTATTTATTTAATTTAAATCAATACTGTTAAATAGTTTAACATTCCCGCACTTTGTTTATGATAATTATTGTTTTTTTAAAAAAAAATTATACAACATAAAAATATTTTTATGTTAACTATGCAAATAATGACAAACAAAAAGTATTCGTACATTCATGCTTTTTTAAATGAAATTCTGTATAAATCATTTATTCAATCGAATTTTTCATATGCCTACAATGCCAAGGTCATTTTTAATACGTAGGTATAGATATTAGACGTTTTAGTTGCACTCGTGACAAGTATAGACGTGTTTAGTTACAAAAATGGGTCGTAAAGCAAAAGAAACGAGTGAAGAGGAGAGAAAAATAATTATTAATTTGCATAATCAATGCAAATCATTATGTGAAATTGCAAAATTTGTCAATAGACCACGTTCAACCGTACAGACTGTAATTGATCGGTTTTCTATTACTAAAACACTAAAAAACAAACCCAGAGGTGGGGCGTCCATCAAAAATCACGCCTCGATTGGATCGGAAAATTTTAAATTGTGTAAAAAAAAATCCAAAAATTAGTGCCGCTCGAGTGTTACAAGAAATTAATAATATCAATGATTGCCATATTTCTGTCAGTACCGTTCGGAACGTATTACGTAGTAACGATTATCATGGAAGAACTCCGCGTAAAAAGTATTGGGTAAATGATATTAATAGAAAAAAAGATTAGAATTCGCAAAAAAATATATTAATGAAAAAATCATTTTTGGCAAACTGTTATTTACTCAGATGAATCGAAATATAATATTTTCAAATCGGATGGGCATCATATGGTATGGAGAAAACCTAATATGGAATATAAGAAAGAAAATTTATGTCCAACGGTAAAACACGGTGGTGGGTCAGTATTTGTATGGGGTTGCATGAGTGTTTTTGGGGTGGGAAAACTTGCATTTATTGATGGAATTAGGGATCACAAAACGTATATTAATATTTTAAAAGAGAATCGTCTCTCTAGTGCAGCTCAAATGGGTTTTAACAATAATTGGATATTTTTACAAGATAATGACCCTAAACATAAAGCATGGAGTACTAAAGCATGGATCCTGTTTAACGCTTTAAAATACCTAGAGATTCCTCCTCAATCACCTGATATTAATATTATAGAGCATGTGTGGGATTATCTCGATAATAAAATTCGAAATCGACCAATTTCGAGTAAAGAAACACTAAAAATTGCGCTTCGCGAAGAATGGGCATTAATACCGTCTTCTTATATTTTCAAACTAGTTGATTCGATGCCGCAGAGACTCCAAGCTATCATCAATGCTAACGGTGGTCCAACAAAGTATTAATATTTTTTTAATATTCATTTACTTACAAATTTTATAAGTGTACGAATACTTTTTGTTTGTCATTATTTGCTTAGTTAACGTAAAAATATTTTTATGTTGTATAATTTTTTTTATTAAAAAACAAAAATTATCATAAACAAAGTGCGGGAATGTTAAAATATTTAATAGTATTGATTTAAATTAGATAAATAAAAGAAAGTCTATCAAATTCGTATTTTTTTTATTACAACCTTAGGTGTACGAATACTTTCTACACTCACTGTATATATTTGGATATATGTGTTTATTTATGTATGTGTATATGACTATGCTGTCACAGATATTATTTTTTTACAGATCTATTCTTTTTAACGCGCCACCTACCTATTTATGCTTTAATTCCTTCTACCCAAAGGTTGTCTGGAAGAGATTGCTTAACAATAAGACCGCCTTTTGTACTACACTATACGTATCGAAAATTGTTCAACAAATCCTGTTATGTTGGTGGAATAAAGTGTTAAATAAATAAAATAAATAAATGTCCCTATGTTTGCTTAGCGTGTTAGTATTATGATAATTACTGTACAAATAAAAGATCAGAATGAGGATTTGTTAGTTGACCGACTGTTTTACAATCGCTGAAGGTTATGTAGCAGCTATTTTTATGATTTTTTGTCTGTTAAAATGAGGAAAGAACTTTATTCTTTGTCTTTGTTTTCAGATATCAGATAATGTAATTTATTATTTAAATAATTGAAATGTAACTTAAATCTACTTAGATATATAAATGAGACAGGCGTGACAGATATGTACATACGGGGGGAAAGGGATTGTTACTAATGGAGACTGAGAATCCCATTGGTAGCAATATATCCAACCAGGTCGACCTCCTCGCGGTTCTCCCTGGAAACTATCATGGTTAATTCCTGATGAGTTCATCATGATAGGCTAACTGGCCTGTTTTCATTCTCATCTATCACCCTTCACTGGTGCTCCGCCAGCGTATCCCGTTAGCGCAGGCGGGGTTACCATACCATTTTCACCCTTCAAAAAAGAAAAAAAGATATGTACATACATATGTATATATACATCATCTACATCCATAAATCTTATTAAAACATGAAAATATATAAGTTATATTTACTAATACTATAGTACAGATCTAACTCCTTTATTCATGTAAACGTCAAACTTCTCGTAAACGTATTCTATCCATTGAACTGTTTAGTCTCTTTCCTTAACACTAAATTCCTTATTTGAAAGAAAGTAACAAAACAGTATAATAGGTTATGTACATTTGTAGACGGATTTATTTTTTATACTATATATAAAATATAAATCCTTAAGGATAAGTGTGGGGGTTTTTCAAAAGACTACAGTATGGGGTTTTTCAAAAAAAAAATATAAAGAGGTTTATTCAGGGTCGGCAATGCACGCGTAATATCCCTGGTATTGCAGGCGTTCCACCTGATGGTAAGCGGTTACGGTGATGATGATATGATGGTGTTTATCAAATTATAGGTGTTCCTCAACGGAGTGACGAGGGGATCCGTCTGCGGTGTGGTTGGCAAGAAACCATCGCTTCTGCTCACTGATGCCGCCACAGCGTTAGGCTCGGAAGGCGGGCCCGTTTTTAGTGAAGGACCAACGTGAGCATAACAGTTGATCGTTTTATTGTTACAGTAGCTCGACAGGGGGAAGGAATTGTTAGGTATGGGGAGGTTAGCTCCTAATGCTATCAATATATCCTATCGGGTCGACCTCCACGCGGTTCCACCTGGAAACTATCGTGACTAATTTATCGTTGAATTAGTCACGATGGCCTAATGCCTTTTCATCCTCACCTATCATCCCTCACTGGTGCCCCGCCAGTGTATACCGATAACGCAGGCGGGGTTACTATTTCGTTATCATCCATTAAAAAAAAATACCTCGATATATAGATACAATAACAATGTACGGCAAGTACATTATTTAACAGTACATTTATTTGTTATCTTTCTTTATTGTATGTATATACTTGGATCTGTATTTTACGATACTATATTTCAATTGAATCATCTAATCGTCATTGTTGGGGGGAAAGGGATTATTAGTAATGGAGTCTGAGAATTCCATTGCTAGCAATATACCCAACCAGGTCGACCTCCTCGCGGTTCCCCCTGGAAACTATCATGGTTAATTCCTGATCAATTCATCATGATGGGCTAACTGGCCTGTTTTCATTCTCATCTATCACCCTTCACTGGTGCTCCGCCAGCGTATCCTGTTAGCATAGTCGGGGTTACCATACCATTTTCACCCATTAAAAAAAACGGTATACGCTGGTAGAACACCAGTGAGGGATGATTGGTGAAATTAAATAGCAGGTTTGTTAGCCCATAGCGAAATTCAGCACGATGGTTTCCAGGGGGGACCACGTGAAGGTCAATCTGACAGGATGTATTGCTAGCAATGAGACTGGTAGTCCGCATTACTAACAATCCCTTCCCCCTTCCATTTCTAATTGAACGTACCTAAAATGGGTCATGTCTTTTAGGAAGGAGCTGATAGGTGCAGTGGTATGCAGCGTCGCCTGGTGGCGGGGGGAGTGGGTGGGGCTAACACTGGTGGCGCCGCTAGGATCCGTGCTCTCCGCTAAACTGAGAGTGGCGCCCCCTAGCATTCCCAGATCGCAACCTACGCATCCTCATACTCGAATATTAGGTAATGTGTATTTACTTATTTATTTAAAAAATATACGAAATTCTTGTCATTATATATATATATATATATATATATATATATATATATATATATATACACGTATTTAAGCTTTTTAAACCGACTTCATAAAAGAAGTTCTCAAATTGGTTGTATTTTTTTATATTTGTTACCTTGTAACTCTTTTATTTATAAACCGATTTGGAAAGGATAATCTTTCAGATAAGAAAAATCCAAATGGAAAAATTATATACTTTTATAAATTTTATCAAAATTTAGTTTAATAGTACATTTTAAATTAAAATAATTAATTTTGCCAATATGTCGGTTTTTTTCTGACGGCCCACCTGATGGAAAGTGGTAACCGTCGCCTATAGATGTGAGCAGCTCCACAATTCCAGGGCACGTCTCTTAACATATCTAAAAGTATTAGGATTCTTGGTGTCGACATCTTTAGTGATGTACAATTCCGTGGCCACCTCGAAGATAAGGTTAAGCTGGCATCCAAAAAACTCGGTGTGCTTAAAGCGAAGCATTACTTCACGCCGGATCAACGATTAATGCTCTACAAATCGCAAATCCGGCCCCACATGGAAAATTGCGGTCACTTATGGGCTCAAGCAACGACGAGCTATGAGAATAGAGGTTGACCTGATAGGGTATATTGTCAACAATGAAGCTTGAACATCTCCGTTACTAACAATCCCTTTCCCCTAAATATTACTTTTAGATTAATGACACAGTATGGTTGTATCCTGGGGCAGGTCACGTGGATGCAACGGTGGCGCTTGTTCGCTGCGGCGCGGCGTGGGGCGCCGGCCTGTACCTGGGCGGCGGACTGTTCCTCACCTGCGCACACGTCGTCAACAATGTAAGCACTCACATGCTCAATACTGTTCCACACTACATTTGTTTGATTAGAGTTATTTTGTTTAATTTCATTGTTTACGAGGGATGAAAAGTGAGACAGAGATATTAATAGATGAGTAAAAGCGGGAAACAATGTAAACGGTGCACTGCTCTCGATTATGTCAAGTAAAAATGTATCGAGCAAAGCTCGCCTTGCCATAATGCAAGGAGTACTGACACCAACACTCATGTATGGAAGCGAATCGTGGGTATGACAGAAGAAGCATGAAAGTAAGATAAATGCTGTAGAGATGAGAGCTTTGAGAAGTGTGTGTGGTATTTTAAAAGATAGAGTAAGAAATAGTGTGATTATAGAGAAGTGTGAACTGAAAGTCGATGTAGTGACAAAAATCGAAAAAGGAATGTTGCGTTGGTTTGCCCATGGAGAGGATGAATGAAAGAGAATTACGAAAGAGATTTATCGAGCAAGAATGAATGGAGATATCGGTAGGGGTCGCCATGGACGGACGTATGTTGACCAAATAGGCGACGTGCTGAAGAAGGGCCAAAAAGTACCCGTAACCGGCGAGCGTGTATGAAAAGATTAATGAATGTGGAAGAAGCGAAAGAGGTTTGTTTAAATCGAAGCATTTGGCGATCGATTGTTTCTGCCTACTCTAATAGGAGACAAGCGTGACAAATATATATATGTTAATTCCGAATGAGATGAGAACAAGGTTTAAGATAAGAGGAATCACACACTACCCCAACATGCGGAGTGCATGTGATGTCGTGTGCAGCGTCTAACACTTTCTCCCACCTTCTAAGGTGGGAGAAAGTGTTAGAGGAAAACAAGCACACGGACTGAGGTCTAGTCTACTAGACCTCAGTCCGTGTGCTTGTTTTCCTCGTTTTCAAAGCATTTTTGTTAAGTTGGATTCGCATTTTTTTGCTTTGTTGTACATTTACAAAAAGCAAAAAATGCGAAATTTATCACATTTATAACCATGGATCTGAAGAAGAATACAATGTCTGTTGAATTAAAGCGTGAAATCATAGAGCATGGTGTGCGAGTTATAAATAAATGTTACTTCTAGTAAATACAATTTTTTTTTTTAAAAGACTTGGAAAAAAACAACTGAGGTGCTTTTTTGGGAGCTGGAACGGATTCGATTAATTTCAATGGGAATAATTGCTTTGAGATACGCGCAATTTCACATACGAGCAAGGTTATGGAACGAATTAAACTCTTATGTCGAGGTACCACTGTATATGTTAAATTCACGTCTATCTTCAGTATGCATCTACAAAAGTGTCCCTGTATTGCGCTGGAATACGGGGAGCGGCGATTGTCCGCTACAAGTCGGCGGCCGATCGTGCCTACGACCTCGCTCTCTTGTACTCCAACCCTGAGTACTGGCCGCATCTCCAGCCAGCCAGCATCGCGACACAATCTGCTGTTAAAGGTACCAGGAAGGACAGTTTTTTTTTTTTTGTTAAATGAAAATGGATTGGTAACCCCGGTAAGCACTATAATCCTTTATTTCCATGCCAGGGGAGCCAGTACTAGCTGCGGGCTATCCTTACTTCAACGAGCAGAACTTGGAAGATTTGCGGCCGACGGTGACCACTGGCCACGTGAACAACGTCTCCCCTTCCATGCTGCAGACCTCGTGCTGTGTCCAGTCAGGCTTCAGGTTTGACATATTATTCAATAAAGAGACTTGGTGCATAAATCGTCTGAATGGATGCCTTTGGCTCATGTGTTTCTACCCTAAAGCAGTTTTTTTTTTGTAAATGTGTGAAAATGGAGTCGTAACTGGATATGGTATATTGCTAGCAATTAGGTTGTTGGCCCCTATTTCTAACGATCCCTTAGATTCGCTCCGGCGCTTCACGGTAACATAGATTGAAAAAGAAATTACTATTTGTTATTAGGTTTAAATAACAAAATTTTATTGTCTTAGACAAGACACTGAGTCTTTCAATATTTTTCATGACGCGACCCCCTTAGTACCCTCCATGGTTTGGAATGTGTATGAATCTTATTATGGTACTATTATGAAATCCATACAGTCGTATTTATATTCACAGTTAGGTATTGATAAAATAAAATAAATAATGTATAATTAAAGTATCTAAAACAGACATGTAATCGATGTCTGTTATATGTAGATATTTCATTATGTATTAATTGATTGATTGATGTATTTATGGAACTGGTGATTTCTCACTGCTTCGCGACCTTCCGCGACCCCCTTGTAGAGGCTCGGGGACCCCCCAAGGGTTCGCGACCCACACTTTAAAAAGCACTCTCTTTGTTTATATTATTATAAATTTCATAGCATTATCTAACTGTGTTCTTAATAATATATAGTCTGTGTTGCTCGCGTTCAATAGTTTTTAGTTTATCCATCAAAAACAAAGGTAGTTAAAGTCGATTGCTTGGGTACCTCTGTCCCATTCGTGTTTCTACCGTGAAGCAGTTGTGTTTGCATGGCTGTGTTTCGGTTTGAAGGGTGGAATATGGCGTGAATTTACAGGGTACAGAGGAATAACACCTGAGTCCTCAGGAATGGCGACGCATGGGGAGTATCATGGGCGAAACAGTATACTCTGTTATGTCCATGGTACTGCTCATGTCTATAGGCGACGGTTACCACTTTCCATCAGTTGGGCCGTCAGCTTGTTTGCCATTCTAAGTTGTATAAAAAAAAAATACAAAAACTCAAAACCTTTCCCTTTATGATATTAGTGTAATTTACATATATATGAATGTAAATGTGGAGTTTGTTTGATACCTCTTCGAGTCTTTACAAATTTACCAATTGTCATAAAATTTGAACTGATCGCAGTATCAGGTATGGAGAAAGGCATAAGCTAAAAAAGGTGAGTACAAAATGTTACTCACCAAACAACTTATCGCGCTCATGCGGTCGAAGACACGGGTATAAACTAGCAAATAAAAAAAAGGTTTAATAATATTATTGTTGGAAAAGATTAAGATATATAAAAGGAATTAAATTAAATACGTCATATCTAATTTTAAACCGTCTTTATGTACTGATAACGTACATAAAGACGGTAGAAACTAGTTTACTACTAGGTACGGTAGAAATTAGTTTTATTAAGGTTGTTATTACATTAAATAGATACCTATTTATTCTTTGTGTATACATGGCTTATGTGCTTATACAATGTATGCAGATCGTATAACTGCCTATTTTTATTTTTAAAATAGCATACAATTTACATGAAAAGGTTTTGCTGGAAGAAATCTCTTTTTAGAGATAAGCTCGCCTTCGTACATTACATTTCAAATGAATTGCGGTTAACATTATATTTTGTGTACAATAAAGAATAAAGATAAAGATAAATATACCCAATGTCACGATAGTAGGGGGGGGGGGGTTTGTTAATAATGCAGACTACCAGTCCCATTGCTAGCAATATGCCCAACCAGGTCGACCTCCTCGCGGTTCTCCCTGGAAATTATTATGGTTAATTCCTGATGAATTCATCGTGATGGACTAACTGGCCTGTTTTCATTCTCATCTATCACTCTTCACTGGTGCTCCGCCAGCGTATCCCGTTAGCGCATGCGGGGTTACCATACCATTTTCACCCATCAAAAAAAAAAAATCTGAGTCATCAGGAATGGTAACGCATGAAGGGTATCATGGGCGAAACCTTTGAAAGTTTAACGATTTCCCTCGTTAAATCTTAAATTTTATAAATAGATAGGTAAATAATTTATTTGTACTAATTCAGCACACAAATAAAGATAAATACAAATAAACAGTCACAAAAATAAAGGAAAAAAATACATAAAAAGTGACAGATTATTTCTTTTTTCTCTTTTTTTTTTACTGATAAAGCCTTCCCCTAAATGGATGCTAACAATTTCATTCCATCTTTTATATCTGACCAATAGCGGAGGCCCGATATTCCGGCTGACCAGTGACTCCAAAATAGAAGTGTTGGCGATAGTGGTCAGCAATGCGAAGACGCACACCGGCGCCTGCTACCCATACATCAACATGGCGGTACCAGTCAGGGCATTCATGCACTTCATACAAGACTTTATCCAGAACAAAGGTAAGAATGGCCGTGTGGTCCTGGCATAGAATAGGCCAGCCCTTCCTTTCCCGTAGGTATCGTTAGAGGCGACTCAGGTAGGGAGGGATGAGCAGCAGCGTTTCTCTTAAATTTTTTTTTTTACAAAACAGGGGGCAAACGAGCATGCGACTCACCTGATGGTAAGTAACTACCGCCGCCCATGATCACCCACAACATCAACAGCATTGCAGGTGTGCTGCCGGCCTTTTAAAAGGGAATATGCTCTTTTCTTGAAGATTATGTTGTCGTATCGGTTCGGGAAATACTGCTGCTGGAAGTTGATTCCAAAGAGTAGTTGTGCGTGGAAGAAAGTTCCTTGAAAAACGCACGGTGGAGGACCGCCACTCGTCCAGTTGGTTGGGATGAAGATTTTAGTTTATGGCGGGTTGTACGATGGTGAAAACCAGCAGCAGGTATCAATCCGAACAATTCCACACACTTCCCTAAAGCCTAACTGCATTTGCCCGTCTGCCCCACGCTCGATGTTGCGAGTGAGTAAAGGAAGTTGGTAAAAAGGAATGAAAGATTTATGGGGGAAATGAAAAGAGGACACCACAGTTACAGAGGATATACTGGTCAGAAACTAAAGCGATTCACGAGACCAGGATCGTTTACTCATACTTATTTCTTTATTCTAAAACCGGGGGGAGAAAGGGATTGTTAGTAATGGAAACTAAGAATGACTAAGAATCATGATTAATTCCAGATGAATTCATCATGATGGGCTAACTGGCCTGTTTTCATTCTCATCGATCATCCTTCACTGGTGCCCCGCCAGCGTATCCCGTTATCGCAGGCGGGGTTACCATACTATACCATACCATTTTCATACAATAAAAAATCTCTAAAACCGGATAGATCATTAGAGGAGAACGCCTCTGGCTAAAAAGTCTAATTCTGGTTGGATTTAATCATATTAAATATCGAATAAAAATATATATTTCGTATTCTCAGATGTCAGCAAGCTGTCGTCAATAGAAAACAACAGAGACATGATCCAGTCGCAGTGGAGATTACTGCCTTATAGATCCAAAATATAGTCTCGCACGCTCCACGAGCATGTTGAAATGTTGGGATAGAATCCTACATGGCATATTGCTTTTTATAAATAAGGTGCCGGGTTCGATTCTCGGACAAATCAATTTAGGAAGCGAACATTACTAAATTGATTACGTAGTGTCTCTAGATATTTGTCCTTATATTGTTTCCCAACTCGAGGTAAAAGAAACTGATGTGATTTTTTGGCATTTATTAGATATTATAGAAGAAAAATCTATTGTAGACTGTTACAATAGGACTTAATGAAAATGTAAACAGACACTTAATTACAAATACATAATAGATGTATTGTATCTTATATTTATATCTATTTTTGTTTATAGTATATTAATATTGGTACGGTACTAGTATAATAGTGATAATTTCAACAACACGTTGTGATCTTTTTATTAAATTCTATTGAAATTTGGACAAGGAATGTAGCGTTTTAACACACCACCTCGCCTATCTATAGTTCTTGTTCGAGTCCTACATTTGTACTTAATCATGTAGGTATTTTATTAATAAAAATGTATATTATTTCTCTTCATAAAATGTGCCATAATATCTACTCTATAAATAAATGATAATAAATGTAAATACTATTTGGATGTATGTGTTTATTTATGTATGTGTATATAACTATGCTGTCACAGATCTTTAGAACAATACTTTCACAAAGATTTTTCTGTTTCCTCGGCAGCCATCTTTATAATAATATAAACCGTATTTTGAACATATATTCATATTCACACTTCAATTGTAAAACTGCGCTTAAAACATGGTTATTGAGTCTGACGTACGATGACACGGAGAAATTACTGAAGGTTACGTATTAAATTACAACTTATGAAAATATTATTAAAATAATGTATATTGTGTAAGTGTATGTAGGATATATCGGTTGTATAACCTTAACTATATATGTGTATGTATGTGTGTGTGTATATATGTATGTATATGTGTATGTATGTATATGTGTATGTATGTATATGTGTATGTATGTATATGTGTATGTATGTATATATGTATATATATATATATATATATATATATATATGTATATGTATGTGTGTGTGTATGTGTGTATGTATGTGTATATGTATTAATGTTGTTATTATATTCATAACCAGAGCAAATTGTAATATAGTGCCAACACCATGGGGTGAGGACCTGGTGATCTGTAACACAGGTTTATCCTACTTCAGACACCAGTTCTTCACAATACATTAAATTATGTAACCTCCAAAAATAAATGTATTAGAATATAATAGATGTACAGATATTATTTTTTTACAGATCTATTCTTTTTAACACGCCACCTACCTATTTATGCTTTAATTCCTTCTACCCAAAGGTCGTCTAGAAGAGATTTCTTAACAATAAGACCGCCTTTTGTACTACACTATACGTATTGAAAATTGTTCAACAAATCCTGTTATGTTGGTGCAATAAAGTGTTGAATAAATAAATAAAATAAATATATTATACATTTTAATATATAATAAATTAAGAATTATTATCGTTCACTTCAGAATAAATTCTCTGTTTTAGAGGTACTATACATAATAATACATAATGTATGTAATCTATGGTTTTAGTTTTGATCAATTTGTCAGTTGAAGAAAGATATTGTAAATATATTTTTATACCTAATTTATTATAAATACATCTGTTTATTTTTTAAATTCTTTCGTTTCATTTAATATTACAATAAATCCGTGAATAAGTTTCTTAAGTGATCTCTAAAATGAATCGAATCCTGTCAATTAACATTAAAATAATTAATAAATAAATAAATAACAATAATTAATTACCTTTAACTCGATTGTATGCTCATACAGCTCAAGTGTCAAGGTGATGTTTGTAACTCAAATAAGACGTCAATTTTAAATAACTTTAGGGTCTGTGACTGAAAATTGACGTCAATCTTTACCAATTATAAATGTGAAAATGAGTTTGCTTGTTTGTTACACCTTGACGTCTAAACGGCTTAACCATTCGTTATGAAATTTAATACACACAAACAATTTGGACAAGCAACTTTTTTATTTGGATCAATGAATTTATCCCGTTCATGCAGACGAAGTCGCGGACAAAAAATTGTTTAGGTATATTATAAAAGTAAAGACGTTTGGATATATGTTATTTAATCAAATTTGGTAAGCATATTAACTTGTGTTTCGGTTTGAAGGGTGGGATATGGCAGTGAATTTACAGGGTACAGAGGAATAACATCCGAGTCCTCAGGAATGACAACACATGTCCATGGTACTGCTCATATCTATAGGCGACGATTACCACTTCCCATCAGGTGGGCCGTCAGTTTGTTTGCCATTCTAAGTTGCATAAAAGAAATGAAAATATATAAATTATAAATAAATGTAAAAATGAGTTTGTTTATTACCTTATAGCACCTGAACGATTTAACCAACCACTATGAAACCTAGTAGACACACTATGACATAAGATGGGATGGAGAAAAATATAGGCTACTTTTTATCCCGGTCAATAAACATACCCGGGGGGAAAGGGATCGTTGGCAATGGAATTTGACAGCCCCATTGCCAGAAATATGCTCTATTAGGTCGACCTCCACGTGGTTCCCCCTGGAAACCATCGTAAACAATTCTTGTTGAATTCGTCACGATGGGCTAACCGACCTGCTTCATCCTCACCTCACCTTCACTGGTGCCCCGCCGGTTTATACCGGTAGCGCGGGCGGGGTTACCATTCCATTATCACGCATTAAAAAAAAATAAACATATCCTGGTCATGTCGATGAAATCACGAATACTCGTAAAAGCAAGTAAAGAATAATTCACCTTTCACCTGTCAGTTGTACAAATAAGACTAGTATCTACTTGTTACCTGATTGGACAAAACTTTTTTTTTTATCAGCAGACAGAAAAGTATTTTATTTATCAAGAAATCACACGTCATTATTTGTCTATTTTTAATAGGTAGACACTTATTTACGTAGACAAAAATAAAGAGAAAAATATGGCACGTAAGGGACAAGTTTCAATACAAGATACAGTAGAAAGTAATGAGGAATTCGAAGTGTATCTCCAAGTGCACTTTAATCAATTGATCTGTAAGTAAACTGTTTTTGTACAATAGGATAACAAGATTCTATTTGTTTTTTATGAATGACAATGATATGGTAACCGCGCCTACGCTATCGATATACGCTGGCGGGGCACCAGTGAGGGATGATAGGTGACGATGAAAACAGGTCAGTTAGCCCATTGTGACGAATTCAACAAGACTTAATACCGCGTGGAAGGGGGGAAAGGGATTGTTAGTAATGGAGACTGAGAATCCCATTGCTAGCAATATACCCAACCAGGTCGACCTCCTCGCGGTTCCCCCTGGAAATTAATTCCTGATGAATTCATCATGATGGGCTAACTGGCCTGTTTTCATTCTCATCGATCACCTTTCACTGGTGCTCCGCCAGCGTATCCCATTAACGCAGGCGGGGTTACCATTCCATTTTCATCCACCAAAAAAAAACATTTATATATATATAGAGGTAGATAATATAGAGGTATATAATATAGAGGTATATATATATATATATATATATATATATATATATATATATATATATTATCTACTTTTACAACAATTATTTTGAAATACCACCTGCCTTTAGGCGGGCCGTCAACTACTATTATACAGTTTATCATTTTTGGAATCTATAGGTATGGAGATATACTCCGAATTTTGTGGCTACTGCCTCGCTACTGGCAATGCGGTCAGGAAAGGAAAACTTGAGATAGGACTAGAACGTATAGCAATGGTGAAGGTAAGTCGGAAATTATTTCTATCTAACGCCCCATCCCGGATTCGCCCAGTGTTTTTTGGAAAATAAAATATCAGCCCATATCACTCACTAATAATGCAGCTCTCTACAGGTGAAAAATTATTAAAATTGATTGAATATTTTTAAACAAAAAATAAATTTTTTCCTCTTTAAAATATTAGTTTAGACTAGCTGTATTTTGCGGCTTTGTCCGCTTAAAGAACAGTTAACTTCTCAATACAAACTTATTGAATAATCGTAAACGCAGTCGTAACGTGATTCTTTGACAATCCTTGTACAATTCACTTTGAGTATAAATAATAGAACAATGAATTTATATTAAATTTGCTTGTCCATTAGTCTGTAGTACAGATTACACGATACAATATTTACTAGCTTATCAGGTCGATTAGTTAAGTAGTTAAGACGCTAAGACGTAACAAACAAACAAACTTACTTTCACACTTAGCATATTTGTAGGAACGACTTGCACTATAGTTGCACCCTGACTTCAGAACGCCAAAATTATGAATTCAAATCTACTCGACGCCAAAAACTTTTTGTAAACTCAAATTGTTGACTCACTCTCCGGCGATCAGAAACACCAGTAACAAACCAATGCACTCCGAGTAGCAGTGGTAGGCTCGCTCTCTGCCCAAATGAAGTCTAATATCCTCAGCAAAATTTGTGCATGTCACAACCGAATCAATCGACGAACGCCTCTGACTACTCCATTCGGGATTATAGTCTTGAGCATGTTTATTTTATTTAAAAAGTGAATTTTTTCTAGGCTCTAGCGGACAACATAGATGCTTTATCTCGATTCAAGTACAAGAGCGAACCAGTATTCTTATTTATAGTGGTTAGATTTTATTTTAATTTCATCTTATGTCTTTGGAAGGTATTCATATATCCATAAATAAATAAGATATAAAATAATAAGTACATATAGTAAATATGGAGAGCAACAGATGTTTAAAACAGGCATTATCATATTATGGTCTTAAGACTGTGTTACATTAAAGAGTCCTTTGGAGTAAGAATACAATATATTTTTTATAACACTGAGGTGGCAAACAAGCATATGGCCCGCCTAATTATAAGCAGTTACCATAGCCTATGAACGCCTGCAATACCAGGGGCATTACGCGCCCGTTGCCGACCCTGAAGAAACCTCTTTATCCCTTTTTTTAAGAATTTAATGTAGTCTCTTGGAAAAACTTCGATAGAGAGCTCATTCCATAACCATTAGTTTGTGGAAGGAAACATTTCTGATACCCCACTGTATGCAACCATCTAGGCTCTAAGTAAGGTATTATAGTTAATATTATTATTTTAGAGAAAGTTGCTAAAAGCTAAACCTGGGCCTACCTTCCAATGATTATCATTTCAATAAATTATGATAATTAATTATATATATTTGATCAAATAAAGCTTTTTAAAGGGGTGAAAATGAAATGGTAACCCCACCTGCACTATCAGTACACATTGACAAGGGACCAATAGGTGAGGAAAAAATCAGGTCAGTAAGCCCATCTTGACGAATTCACTGGGAAATAACTACGATGTATTTATGAAGAGACCGCGTGGAAGTCAATCTGACAGGATTATTGCCAGATTTAAACTAACTAACTATTACTAACAGTCCCTTCGAACTACTCAAATAAAATTTGCAAATGTTATATTATAAAATAATTAAAGATTCTTTATTCTTTATTCTTTATTGTACACAAAACATACTGGTAATTACAATGCATTATAAACATAAGATTGTGTCCGAAAACCCAGTTATTATCCCAGTGTATACTGATAGCGCAAGCGGACCACTGTTTCGATTTCACCCATTAAAAAAATTAAAGAGAATTTTAACGGCAAGTTATTTAACAGAAAGGCAAGTTGACGAGGGCTATGTTCGGCGCGAATGGCATAGAACTATGTCGTATAATAGAAGAGGAGCTAGGATTGATGCAGAGGGAGACCGAAACAGGAATTGAACGAGCCAAGTTCGATATACACCATATGTTGCCCGAAGAAGCTGTACGTAGTATTATAATCTGAATGGTTGTACATTATAGCTTAGCCAGCAAACAATTTCATCAATCATTGGTACCCCATAAGGGTATACCGATTGAGTAAGTCAGTCAATCCAAACTCTTGGACTGAAAAGATATGGTATAAACATCAATGGCGGATACATCACTCACCTTTAATTTGACGATGGCATAGTAATTATAGCGGAATTCATGGAGGATCGGTATACTATTTAGTAAGCGAGGCTACCAATCCATTAATAATACATAAAAAAAAACGACTTCAATTGTGGCAAAATGAGATGTTTTAAATTAAAAAATAAATTACAGAACCGATTTTGATAAAAAATTACGTGGAACTAATCTGTAAGTATATGCTTTCAGATTTATCTATCATATTTAAGAGCTGCGCTCTTGTCGGTGGAGCTCTTGCCACTCACGATTTTCAGCGAGTCTCTTCTTGATACGACCCGACACCAACTCCTTCCTTGATCTGCCTGATGTAATTATGTCTCGGTCTCCCTCCTCCCTCTACCTCTTTCCTTCTATCTTACCTTCTATTATAATGTTCATAAGTTCGTCATGTCGTATCAAGTGTTCCAACATTTTTTCCCTTCTGTTCTTAATAGTTCTTATAATTTGTCTCTTTTCCTTAATCCTAAGCAGAATCTCCTCATTACTAATTCTACTTTCAAATAAAAAATGAATTTTACAAATCGGTTTTAAACCGACAAAGTTAAAAAACAACGAACAAAAAAAAAATACAAGCGAATTAAAAAACTTCTTATTTTTGAAGTCGAAGTGGAAAAACTCAGCGACGTTTTTTTTTCTCCCTAACTGATCAATATTTTCTTATCCGAATAAAACTACCCTATTTCTCAATTTTTTTTTTTACAACACAGGGGGCAAACGAGCATTCGGCTCACCTGATGATAAGTGACTACCGCCGCCCAGCAAGTAATAAAATTTACAAATACGCTATTTTTGAAATTACCGGTAAACCATAGAATAAGTACCTATATAAATTTTTATTAAATTAAAAAATTTATACTTAACCCAAAATTATATATAAACTGAATTGGCAATGGGCTGGTAACATAGCTCAAAGAATCGACCACTGATGGGGAAAAAAGGTGAGTGACGACCCCGTACGGACAAACGCAGCATAGAACGACTTCCCGCTAGATGAAATGACGACCTCAAATGCATTGCGAGGAGTCAGTGTATGCAGGTGGCTCAGGATCGTTCCTTATGGCAGTCTATGGAGGAGAAGACTAAATTAATTAATGAATAATTGAAAACTTGCCATAATTTAAGGAGTACTGACACCAACACTCATGTATGGAAGCGAATCGTGGGTATGGCAGGTGGGCGGTATGATGAATGGTGGGTATTTAAAAAATCATCCAGATGATGATGATATAAACATACAATATTTACAGTATAGTGGTGGTCAATCTTCGAGTGTTGGCAATCACACTCATACTAACAGTGGCAGAATTAAACAAAATTATTCTAATCAAATAACCAATAAATAAAATAAATATTTAATAGTAATAGTGAACTTAATTTGCTATACGCTTTCAATTTCAATAGAACTTTGAAAAAAAAGTCAAATTTTGTTGAAATTATTACAGAAACGTCCTTCAAATATTAATCTGGTTATTGGTTTTTTAATTTGTACTACTATTGGGCGTCAACAGGCATCTTACGGTCGAGCCAATTACTTGTTTGTTTACGTTTTCATTAAGTTCTACCAGAAAGTTTTATCAGAAGGAGACTTTGTACAAAAGTCGATTGCTTGGGTATCTCTATCCCATTCGTGTTTCTACCGTGAAGCAGTTGTGTTTTCATGGCTATGTTTCGGTTTGAAGGGTTGGGATATGGCCTGAATTTACAGGGTACAGATTAATAACACCCGAGTCTTCAGGAATGGCAACGCATGGGGGGTATCATAGGCGCAACAGTGTACTCTGTTATGTCCATGGTACTGCTCATGTCTATAGGCGACGGTAACCACTTTCCATCAGATGGGCCGTCAGCTTGTTTGCCATTCAAAGTTGTATAAAAAAAATTATTGAAATAGACTACAGTTATAACACTTAGCAAAAAATGCAAGAGGACCTAAAAATAGAAGAGGAATGCCGTCAAGCGGTGGAACGGCTCCAAGTGCTGACGCTGGCTGCTCGCAAGAAGAGGGTCTGCGAGCGGCTGTCCAGGCACGTGAAGAGGCTCAACTTCATCATGTTCTGGCCGCACTGCCATCAGGCGCATTACGACCTGTATGAGAAATGGGACGTCATCAGTAAGTCGTTATAACTATGCACCGATCTCTGAGATAGGAAGCTTGCTCTGGAAGGCCTGCTTATAGGTTAAGATCTACTGTCCACTATCGACTGACTTCTGCAGATTAGAGTAGGCAGAAACAATGGAACGCCAAATGCTTCGATTCAAACAAACCTCTTTTGCTTCTTCCACATTCATTAATCTTTTCATACACGCTCACCGGTTACGGGTACTTTTAATTTGGCCCCGTCTTCAGCACATCGCCTATTTGCTCGACGTACGTCCGTCTAGGGCGGCCCCTACCGACATCTCCATTCATTCTTGCTCGATAAATCTCTTTCGTAATTCTTCTTTCATCCATCCTCTCCAAATGACCAAACCAACGCAACATTCCTTTTTCACTACATCATCTTTCAGTTCACACTTCTCTGACCTGATTTCATCCTCATCTGCTATCCGTCACTGGTACTCCGTCGATAGGTATGAATTAATAGTACAGGCGTAGTTACTATTACATTTTTACTCAAAAGAAACAAGTCTATAGCGTATTATATGTATTCTTTGTATGAAATTAAGGTACCCACTAGAGGGAGACTTTGGTCCGGTTTCAATCGTGAAGCAGAAATCTTCATCATCATAATATCAGCCCTAAACTGTCCACTGCTGAACATAAGCCTTCCCCATAAGGGGAGTTTTGCCAGTTGCCATGCTTGGCAGGCGGTTGGCAACCGCAGTTAGGCTTTTAGTGCTGTTTTAAGAGGGACGCTACTGCCCATCCTTCGACCATTAATTTCCCTTAGTCGCCTCTTACGACACCCACGGGAAAAGGAATACCGGGACCACACGGCCGGAACAGAAATAAGTGAGATAAATTTTTAAAGCTTAGTTACAAGATTGTTTTTATACCAAGAAGATGGCAAACAAGCATATGGCCCGTCTGATGGTAAACAGTTACTGTAACTATGGATGCCTGCAACACTAGCGGTGTCACGTGTGCGTTGTCAACACTGAAGAAACATCAATATATCCTTTTTGAAAAACCCCATACTGTAGTCCCTAGGTGCAAAGTGGCCTTTTTTTAAATTATGTTAATGACATTAATATCAGTCTTTTTTGTCCACTGCTAAACACAGGTTTCCCCCTATTAGGGGATTTTGCCAATAGTTGCCACGCTTAGCAAGAGGGTTTGGCAACATCTAATTTATGAATAAATGAGTATACTTTAGTTGAATTATACAATATAGGAAATAAGCAAGACTATTTATTTATTTTTTTATATCTTATTGTATTCCATGAGTAAATAAAAAAAATTTAATGTTTAAGCTTCAAATTGCTTTTTTTTTTTACTCTAATACGACCGTTTTTATCAAAGGGACAGCAATTGAAAAATCGCTTAAAATTCTGTTTTTATTTTTTGGTTCCTTTTCTTTTATTTTTTCGCTAGTTCATTGACTTAGTCATTGATTTAATTGATGTCAACATTTATAAATAATAGAGATTGCAATATTATCATATAAAGTCTATTCTTAATCTAGTCTACCATTCAAAGTGTACAATTCTTTTTTTATTTGTAAAGACATTATAATTTTTTTTTCTTTACATTGTAGTGTAGGGCCCTTTGATGACTCCTGGGCCCTCACCAACTCTGTATTTATCCGAGGTTCACTAATGTTTGCTGATGGTGGGTATACAGTAAAAAATGAACTTACGCATACACGGAGCGAATGCAGACAATAAAATGATTTATTTGAGTAGCCCACAAGCACATACACAATGACAATACAATATGAGGTGAGATTATACAAATAATATTTTAAACATAAGCAAACACAGTGCATACGTTATACGCGCATTTGAGAGTATCCGCGAAGTTAGCCGCGCTGCCAAAACACTGCGGCCGAAGTCGGCCGCTATCTTCATGCACTTCGCTTACAGTGTTGCCGCAATGTTTATAAGCGGAGCGGAAATAATGAATTATTATAATGTTCATATTATTTTTAGTTTATATTATTTTTAGTTTATATTATTTTTAGTTTATATTATTTTTAGTTAATATTATTTTTAGTTTAGATTATTCTCCGCTACAACATTTTCAATCTATAATCTTTATAATTAAGGTAACGATAACAATAATAATGACTTACATTTCGCTGTTCTTGAAAATACAATTAGCAAATTACCTAAATAAAATAGAAACAAAAGAAATATTATATTGTCTATAATGTTTATCTTTATCTTTAATCCAAATAATACGAAATTTCCTAACGATTAGTAGTTTTTATTTGTTTATTATCTTATATTTCTAATATTAGTAAGAATTTACTTAATTATTAGGTATTTCCCGCAATTTTACCCAAGTGTTATAATAAATTATGATATAACTGACATGCGTATCAAATCCATTCTGTCATTTATGTGCAATTGAGTAACAAACAGTTTTACAATCTTTCATATTTCTATCCAGAGGGAGACTTTGGGCGAAACAATACACTTTTTTTTTTTTATGCAACTTAGAATGACAAACAAGCTGACGGCCCACCTGATGGAAAGTGGTAACCGTCGCCTATAGACATGAGCAGTACCATGGACATAGCAGACTATACTGTTTCACCCATGATACCCCCCATGCGTTGCCGTTCCTGAGGACTCAGGTTTTACATCTGTATACATACACTCTGTTATGTCCATGGTACTGCTCATGTCTATAGGCTACGGTTACCACTTTCCATCAGGTGGGCCGTCAGCTTATTTGCCATTTTAAGTTGCATAAAAAAATTATATAGTAACAGCAGGATTGTAACGAGTAGAGTGCCGTGTAATTCCGGCATAGAATAGACCACCCCTTCCTTTCCCGTGAGTGTCGTAACAGGCGATTAAGGAAAGGCGAAGGATGGGCAGCAGCGTCTCTCTTAAAACATTTCTAAGGCCTAACTGCGGTTGTTGACCTGCTTGCCAAGCATGGCAACTACTGGCAAAACCCTCAAGGGGGAGGCCTATGTTCAGCAATAGACACTTAAAGGCTGACATGATGATGATGAATGAACATCCATTACTGTGAAAGCACGCATAATGATTTATAGTACTTAATAGATCGGTAATGGAATGGTAAGCCCGTCAGCACATTTACGCTGGTCATTTGCTCGCGGAGCAGCAGTTTGTGAATGACAGGTGAGGATAAAGTCAGGTAAGTTGGCTAGTGAGGAATTATAGATGAGGATGCAATAGCTCAGTTGGCCCATCATGACAAACTAAACAGTAAATTATTCATACTGGTTTCCAAGGGAAACCGCGTGAAGGTCGACCTGACAGGATATATTGCTAGCAATAAGGGCCGAAATTGAACATGTGAAAAAATCGCAGTTTCAATTTGTATCAATACAGATATACAAGTGGGGGCTAAGGAGACCTTCCAACTGACAGAGGAGACTGTCAAGGAAGCCCTGTACATGAGCGACGTGGATCCAAACGAGGCCTGCCTGCACGCACTGCTCAAGGGGGAAGTACTTGTCGTACGTTTCAAGATGTTCGACACAGACAACCGGGATTTTGTCAGTAAATACTATTTTTCAACAGATTTCAAAAAGAAGAAGACTCTCACTCAATTCAATTCGGTTGTATTTTGTGTTGTGTTTCTACCGTCAAGTACTAGTTGTTTGAATGGCTGTGTTTCGGTTTGAATGGTGGGATATGGCAGTGAATTTACAGAGTACAGAGGAATAACACCCGAGTCCTCAGGAATGGCAACGTATGGGGGGTATCACGGGCGAAACAGTATACTCTGTTATGTCCACGGTACTGCTCATATCTGTAGGTGACGGTTACCACTTTCCATCAGGTGGGTCGTCAGTTTGTGTGCCATTCTAAGTTGTATAAAAAAATTTTTTATTATCCCATAACTCGGTCACATGTGAATTTTTTTTTTATCTGAAAGTATATATTTTCAGATTGGTCTATAGCAATATTATTCAAAATCGATTCAGTATTTTAGTTCTTAAATCAAAATAACTGGTTTTGGCCACAATTGAAGTCGGTTTTTTTTTTGGAACACAATCTCAATATTTATGATTTAAATACATATATACATATATTGTATATTCATCAAATAACCCTTCTTTGCATGATTTTTTTATTGGTGAAATAAATCAAGGTGAAATTCATGGTCAAAATTAAAGGGAAAATGGTTAAAAAATAAATTTGACAGCTATGGTTTTTATTCTGCAATGGACATTAAAAAGGTATCCAGACACGATCAGCTTAAAGTGAAATTGTTCTTTTATATCGTTTTTGGGCATTCAATGTTATGATGAAATTTCCACCAATAAACAATGTAATTATACAGAGCTGTTGAGACATGCTCTGTACGAAGAGATACCAGTGCTAAAAGAGGACGTTCCACCTGAGAAACAGGTGCCTCCTATACCGGCGTACAAGAGGTACGCTACCATCAGCAAAACAGCTCGAGAGGTCCGCCGCGACCGGTACGAGGCCAAGATGCAAAAGCTTGTGAGTGTCCTATAACAGTTTCGATGTACATATAGATAAATAAATGCCACACCATTATGCCCATCGCCTGATCTTCAAGCTAAGATACCCTGTCTACGAACCAAGCAACAAACATTTGGAAACATAACTGAAAACACGCAGACTCGTGTTAATTTTTAGGAAATGTCGTTTTCTAATTTGGCCTGGCCAAAAATCAGACCGGAAACTTATTGTGCAATACGCCTATCACTGTACCACGAAGTTATACCTAATTTTTTTAAATTTATATTTGTAAGTAGGATGGTATTCTTATGGAATGTAGCTATGTATATATTTTTTAGAGGACAGCAAAACAAATTAAGGTGGTATTCCCACGTATTTTGTATTGCTTTGCTTGATACTTTTACGACCAGTTATGTTTAATTACAAAGACAAAATATAGCAATTATAGCCATACAATGTGATCTTGACAAGAAATTTAACTATTGAACCACAGCGCGAAGAGAAAGAAGAGAGAGAGCGACTTGCAGCAGAACAGGCCCGGCTAGCAAGGGAGGCAGAAGAAGAGAGAGAAAGATTGGAGAAGCAGCGACAAGAAGAGGAACGGATGGCAAGGATACAGGCGGGGGTATTTTTAAATAGAAAACAAATACTTATAATTAAGTAGCCAGTAGGTCTTCCAAAGAATATATAATAGTATTATACATATATTCTTTGGAAGACTTTAAATCTATACTTATAATAAATCTGTACAGATGTCAATTCTGTACATGAAATATATTTCCAAAATAACTATCAGGCGGTGATTAGTGATCGACACTGATGCCAAAAATGCGATCAGTAAAATTTATGTCTGTCTGTCTGTCTGTCTGTATGTTTGTTATAGGAACAAAAACTACTCAACGGATTTTAACGCAACTTGGTGCAATTATTCTTCATACTCCTAGGCAGGTTATAGTATACTTTTCATCACGCTACGATCAATAGGAGCAGAGCAGTGAAGGGAAATGTTGGAAAAACGGGAGAAGTTACTCCATTTTTAAGATTCCGTCGCGTGTGCAGCCTTAATGGCCACTTTTTAAAATGTAAAAATGTCCACCCGTGCGTCGCCGGGACAGTCGGCTAGTCAATTAATAAAATATTGGAAATATCCTTACTAATATTACAAACGTACATTTGTTTATTTGTTAGATACATCCTGGCGCCTTAACATACTACAAAATTTGGTGTTATATAGGATGGAAAAGGGCATAGGCTACTTTTTCATATCGATCAGTGAAGATATTCCGGCCAGGTAAAAGCTAATAAAATAGCAATAGTACCAACTGTCCGTATATTAGCTACATAACCATATTCTTGTAAGAGTACTATAATAATTTACAAGAAAAAGTACTCTATTCTTCTTCTCTTTTTGGTCGTTATTATAAACTTAATAAATTTGTATAAGTATACTGTATTTTACATTTATAGTTACCTGCTGAGCCTGAACCAGTAGTGACAGGAGAAGAAGTTGAAGGTGAAGAAGCAGAGCATGTTGACACTGAAGTCGTGGAAGAAGTATTATAATTTATATAATTAGTAATATTATATATTTATTTATTTATTTATTTGGGCACAGCAACAGTATTACAATTCACATTAAATTGAATATAATGAATTTTATAACTAATTGTTTTAAAATTGTATACCATTAATTGCTACGCACAGCGTTAGCTTATACTAGTTTCAACATTATATATAGTAACTATAGAAAATGAGAACAATTATATATTAAACTCAGACACTTCTTTTGCCATTTTAAGAAAAGAATTTAAATTATAAGCAAAAATGTCCAATTCATTACAATTATTATACAGTCTGCACATGCGGAAGAGAGGATCATTAAAAGTTACATTGTTATTACAATAAGGTACATAAAATAATTTTAATATTCTCTTATTACCTCCTGTTTTAAACGGAACACGGCCTAATAGATCGATAGCATCCCACTTTGCGTTTATAATTTTATATAGCGTGTTCAAATCTTGGATTGAACGTCTAGATTTTAACGTAGTAATACCAAAAAAATTTAGTCGACTTTATATATATATATATATATATATATATATATATATATATATATATATATATATATATATATATATATATATATCTTTATTGCATACTGTTCGTTCGTCAGTTCATCTAATAGGAATAAAAATTTGTGTTGCCATGCATTCTTATTGCATCTTCAAAACGCAGACACTTTATCATAAATACTTACTGTTTTTGTTTAACTGATAACTAAACATTTTATGTCCTAATGTTTTGGAATATTACTTATACGGTTTTCAAAAATTAAGAATGGTATAAGCAACTGACTGCATTCTTCATCAGGCTGAAGAGGAACAAGAAAAGGTTGAGGAAGAAGAAGAATTCCATTCTGACGTAACCGTGGAGGATGAAGAGTACATCCCACCCGGGGGTCTATTTGTCCCTGGACTATATAGCCCTCCGAACGAGCTAGCAAAAGCTAATGGACTGTCGTTCTTTTTTCCCAAAGTAAATCTTTGTTGCGTCCTTTATTGTAATGTAGGTAGTATATTAATTTATTTAAACATTTATTACATAAATAGGTAAGTATTATATTTATGAAATATTATAATATATATATTAATATTTCATTTAACTGTTTATTTAAAGCGTATTTATTGATTAATATTAATGTTGTTCGTACAGCACTCGTGCACTTTAGCTGCCCGCTAACATATACTTTACCATTGTACTAGATTAAACAGAAAGTAATCTTTCACATATTGCATCAATGAATTTTGCAGTTCTTAAAGCAACAAATATTTTTTTAACGCTAGAAAAGACAAAGGATTTGTAACACAGTGAAATAAGGAATGAATCTTCACTACTGCTTAAATACTTTAGTTTCCACCATAGAGAAAATTTGCTCAACAAAATTAAATTATCACTATTTCAGCGTTTATTATAGAATATAATATATAAATATTATAGACTAATACTAATAAACCTAGGATTAATTCTTTCGATTTTCCCCTCTTATGGACCAATTTAGAGGATTTTAAAAGTACCCACATAACATTAGTATTTCTAATTTTAACAAAATTCGTGATTTTATATCATATTTTCCTATTTCTATTTCATGCAGTTGGTCCAAGATTTGGCGCCAATGGAGACTGAACACTTGCCTCCCCACGTGCTTGTGATGTTCAGCGTGGACAAGCGTCACGAAGTACAGGATGTAATCAATCAGTTTCCCCAAGAAATACTCGCCGTATGGTTTTTTTTTTAATTACAGAATGTGATGATGATCGGAGTGCCTAGTGTGAGTTGTACAAAGATTTAGTAAATAATTACAATCGCTTTTACGTTCACTTGATAAAATTGTATTATGTATGAAAAATCTGAATTTCCGATGTTAACCGAATCACCACCACTCAAATCTTTGCACAACTCACACTAGGCACTCTGAGTGGCTAGTGTGAGTTGTAGAGATATATAAATATATCGATTGCAAATATATACACACTAAATCTCTAATCGATCGTTCTAGTCTACCAAATGGGGGATATCTGGTCATTGCAATAAAACAACTGCTGTAAGTTTTTATAATGATTAACTTACAGACTGGATTGTTTGTCGGCGAAGATCCATATACTATGGAGCATGTCGCATACAGTATAAAACAATACGACAAAATGGAAAGACTAAGAAAACAGTAAGTGTTTCAAATATGTATTTACCTACAATGATGATCAACCGTTAACTGTCCACTGTTGAACATAGGCCTTCCCCTAATGGAGTGTTTTGCATGTGGTTAGATAATAAACAATGAACTATGCAATAATATGCAGAGATGGTTGTTTCTGTTGGCGGTCGAAAAAACCGTGATCTCCCTAGTCATGAGCTACTTGTATTAGTCTTAACATCAATTAAATACCTGATTCATGGTGTACTTATATTAAAGATTTAGTTATAAAATGTATGTAACACAATAACACCAGTTATCCAGATCTCAAGGTATTCCTGTGTTATGGGAAGCCAAACAACGGATATCGGGAGCACAACCCACAACATTCAGACCGGAAACAATTAATGTCCCTAACAAGAATCGAACTCGGGATCTTATCTAAGTATATAGTGAAACGGCGATCGTCTTCCTACTTCACGAAGATTTTTAATTAATGATATTTCTATATTATAAGTATAGAATTTTCAAGGGGCTGTCCACAAGGCGGTGTGCTGTCACCACTATTGTGGAATATAGTCGTAAATGAGCTCATAATAGAGCTCAACGATAACAGCCTCTACACGGTAGGTTATGTGGATGATATAGCTGTACTTTTAACAGGAAGTTTCGAAAGTACTCTGTGTGATCGCATGAGAGTAGCTTTTGAAATAATTGAGAGATGGTGCGCACAGCATGAACTCTTGGTTAATCCTACAAAAACAGAATTATTCATGTTTACAAATAGAAGAGTTACATGTTCATACAGACTACCAAAACTCTTCAATACGGAACTGAAATTTAAGGAAGAAGTCAAGTACCTTGGCATAATACTAGACAGTAAATTGCTTTGGAATAAACATCTTGACTACAAACTTAACAAAAGCACAATTGCATTCAGAGACTGGTTTGCTCTTCTGTCAGCGGCTGCATGAAAACAGCTCTTACAACAGCAATAGAGTTGGCCCTCAACATAACACCTGAGTGTATAGTGTCAGAGTGTCTGGCGATTGAGTGACTGGGTGTCCGAGTATTTGAGTGTCTAGTGTCTGAGGGTCTAGTGTCCGAGTGTCTAGTGTCCGAGTGTCTAGTGTCCGAGTGTCTAGTGTCCAAGTGTCTAGTGTCTAGTGTCCGAGTGTCTAGTATCTGAGCCAGAATCTGCGCAATCCAACTACTCTCCGTATTTCAATACAATCCGCCTTCAATTGGAACGAATATTGTCGAATGAGCTTTTTTTTGAGACAGTAGCCGAATGAGCCAGAATCCGCGCAAACCAACTACTCTCCGTATTCCAATAGAATCCGCCTTCAATTGGAACGAATCTTGTCGAATAAGCTTTTTTTGGGAGGCCGCCACCGAGTGAGCCAGAATCCGCGCAAACCAACTACTCTCCGTATTCCAATACAATCTACCTTCAATTGGAACGAATCTTGTCGATCAAGCTTTTTTTGGGAGCCAGCCGCCGAATAAGCTAGAATCCGCGTAAATCAACTACTATGGTTTCTCTGTATGCGGATTTGGTTTACGCTGGAATAACTATTAAGGATGAATATAAAATTAAAGGACCTACAATAAAATGTTTTCCGAAATTTCGTACCCGAACGAAACACAAATTTGTTGATATAAATACATGATATATACCGTTTAAAAATATTAAACATGTTAAAATATCGTTCCTTTGGATTTTATGGTAGGACTTATACCGAACGAAATGTTAAACTCTGATTATTACTAAACCGATTTTGGTATGAACCAAAACAAGACATTAAGTCAGAAATGTACGATGTTGTACGATATGCATTTAATGTACGATACCCAGATCAGTTGCATCTTCGTAATGGATTAACTATAAATTAACCACGATGGTTTACCGGGAGACCGTGATGAAGTTATCCTGACTGCTTCAATTAGCAATGGAGCTCCTAGATTCTATTACTAGCAACTTTCCCTCTGTATTTTTACAGTAAGGACCGTCTGGCCCTCATGGTGTCGAGGAAACGCAGTCTCCCACTATTACAATTGGCGGGATTGAATCCCTGCTACATCAGCAGCGACGTGGCCTCTGGAGAGAGAGACTGTCTTTCGCTCTTCCCCGTCGGATACGGGGATGATTTTGAAGAAGAAGTTAGCGTTAAAGAAGAAGAGATACAGGTAAACAGCGCACAATGTACTCATGTATGATGAAATTAGTTTTTTTATTTTTATTAACGGTTACAACTTATTACATTGTAAAGATTTATCTTTTAGCTTCTTTTACTCCTATTCTCAATGGGATTCTACATTTTCTTATATCTCTGTATAAAATTAATTAATTTAATATCTCTGTTAAATATCTCCTATGTACAGATATAGTTACAATTTTATTAACTCGTGCAACAACGTGTAAATCATATCATAGGTTTCTACTGGGCTCTACCTTTATGTAAATGTATTTTTTTATGTGTAATAAATCTTTATACTATATACTAGTACTGTTATTTATAATTTGGTGCTATTCCCACAAGCCATTCAGTCCAATGTCTCATCCTATCAGCCGTTAACTGCTCACTGCTCGAACCTCCCTCATAAAGGAGTTTTTGCTTGTGGTTGCCTCGCTTGGCAGGCGGGTTGGCAACCGCAGTTAGGCTTCGATGATGTTTTAAGAAGGAATATAGAAATACATAATTATATTTTCTGGCAACACAAATAAAAGTTTATTGACATAGATTAAGGATGCGGCTGTATTGTTTTCTACTGTAAAAGATTTATTGAAAAATAAAGAAAAAAAAACTTTTAAATGAACATTTTAAAATGTATTTTTATATAATACATTTCTCTTCACAGGAAGCAGAACCAGAGCAACAAACAGAGCTTGAGGTAAAGTCTAACAATCTTCTTATATAGAGAATACTTAAAAAAATCAACAATGTGTTTTTTTTTTTTAATAATAAATAGATAATATAAAGACAGATAAACGCACCACGCTAGCATGCGTGGCTGAAAATTTGTTGACACTCTTTGAAACAATGTTGTTTTACTGTTAAAACACTGTCTTAATAAATTATAAACTGTATTAATAAAGAAGCTAATAATTTCTAATTTAGCCATATAGATACAATACCTTATGGATTCAGCTGTGTGATTACCTGCCAGTATCGGGTTTTAACAAGCAGTTTTGTTTTTAATGGATAAAAATGGGTTTGTTTCTTTTTTTAACCCTTAAATACCTGAAGTTTCAAATTTGATACCGGGGTTATAAATCGCATTGGGCGCCTACAATCGATATTATTTTAATATTTGGCTGTTTACATGTTACCAAATGTTTTTTTTTTTTTTAAATAAATATATAAAAATATCGTTTTGATTTTTATAATATTTTTCCCCATTAGTAAACACAGTAAAAGGTACACTTACACAGCGTGAAATTTAACTGGTTGATTATCCGCAGCGAAAAGATTTGATCTCGATGGTACAATCGATTCGTAAACCCTTTTTTCCTAAAAGTCAAATAATGGCAGATTTATCATTTTGAAAAATGAACCTCGAAATCGACAAGAAACATTAGTAATCTCTATGAATGAAACTTCGTCAGCTGAGCGGCGCCCGGGCGCCTTGTTTATGAATGAAATACGCGTTACGTCTAATGAGTTACTAATTGTTTCTCACACTTTCGAGTTGGAGAATTATTTTTTTGATTATTCGAAAAAAAAATATGTTATTTTTAAAATTTTACTTTTGGAATCGATAGTACTACTGAGACCAAATCTTTTCGCTGCGGATAATCAACCAGTTAAATTTCACGCTGTATATTTTTTAATCTGATTTAAAAAATCAGGCTTTTAAGGATTAATTAGTGAAAGTTTTTTGGATGAATCGAACACCGCCTACGCTGTCGGTATACGCTAGCGAATCACCAGTAACAAATGATGGGTGAGAATCAAAGCAGAAAGAAAGTCGGTTAATCCATTGTGACGAATTTCATAAACAGGGGGAACATTTCCAGGAGGAACCGCATGGAGGCCAACTTAGTAGAGTATATTGCTTGCCATGGAATTTTTAAACCCCATTATTAACAATCTCTTGCCCTCCAAAAGGAATAGTAACCCCTCTGATGAATTCAACAAATAGATTGTTGAATTCCCCCCACTAGTTGTAGTTACGATCTTAAATGCATTGCAGGGAATTAATAGATGTAGGCAGTCTATGGGGAAGCACATTGAAAGTCACATTGCCATACCTGGTGTGGTCACCATTCCATATTCATTTCATTAGAAAATAACTCTGTCTGTGCTATCGATATATGCTAGCAAGATACCAGTGCAAGATTCATAATATGTGAGGATAAAAGGAACTCGGACAACTTGACAGACTGACCTGACAGTTTGGGGGGGAGGGATTGTTAGTAATGGAGAGCTTAATCCCCATTGCTATCAATATACTCCATCAGGTCGACCTCCACGAGGTTTCCCTTGGAAATCATCGTAACTAATTTATCGTTAAATTCATCACGATGGGCTAACTGACCTACCTTTTCATCCTCACCTATCACCTCTCACTGGTGCCTCGCCAGCGTATACCGCTAGCGCAGGCGGGGTTACCATTCCATTATCATCCATTAAAAAAAAAACTGCTTTACAGTTTTTACCCTTGAACATTTTATAGTTTTCTTTCAGCTTCTCAGAGGTTGATTATAGGAGATCCCTCTATGGGATAAGTCCGCCATTGTATATTAAATCTCGATTGAAACGTCCAATATAAATTATGTACAATAAAGATTTTAGAATATAATACAAGAAACTTCATCCGCAATATTATCCTTCCATTGGTATTGACAGTAGTTGCTCATTGTTTTTTTTTAATTCAAAAGCCTGATGTGGTGGATGACCAGAAAGAGGATGAAGACGAAGATGAAGAGGAGGATTAAATGTTTCCCTTATCCTAACCTACTGTGTATTTTTACTTGATACATTTGATAAATAAAGAATCTTAGTATGAATAGAATAGAATTTTATTGCTAACTGTGTACATATAGCATTGCTTTGGACTTGACTCAGTATCAACAGTTATACCCTACCGGTCATGCAACAATTTAAGAACAGGTAATTAGCTAGCGTAAATTTAAAAATATTTAAATACTTAATTAAAAATAAATATGAATTATTTCGTAATACAATTAGTATATAGCAGGTAAAATTCATGTAATAGTCTTTTTTTTTTATTTTTGAAATGATAATGGAATGGTAAATACGCAGCTATATACCCATTAGAAATGCAATATGTATTTTTTTTAATGGGTGAAAATGGTATGATAACCCCGCCTGCGCTAACGGGATACGCTGGCGGAGCACCAGTGAAGGGTGATAGATGAGAATGAGAACAGACCAGTTAGCCCATCATGATGAATTCATCAGGAATTAACCATGATAGTTTCCAGGGGGAACCGTGAGGAGGTCGACCTGGTTGGGTATATTGCTAGCAATGGGATTCTCAGTCTCCATTACTAACAATCCCTTTCCCCCCTGCAATATGTATTAAGTTATTGTTAAATTAGCGTGTTTGAAAGTTCATCGCTTTATTGCAACACTTTTGTTTATTTACACTAAACAAATTGTTGCATTAATCCACCTTGTTTTTAATTTAAATGTACCTACACGCGTTTACGTATTTTCTTTGCACTTTCAGTAACAAGCCCGTTTTACTTTGCATTCTGTTAAATATATGTGTGATTCGCGATTTTTATTGAACTACATTTGAAATATCATGACCAGTGGCGTAGCTCCAAACTCCGGAGTCTGACTTACAAACTATAAATAGAACTACTGAAAATTTCTCTCACATTCGAAATATAAATAAACCAGATTCCAGGAACGCGACTTTAATAATGGCAACTTATTTGAATAAATACAGGGGAATTCCCAAATAGTCTCGATCATCTTTTTTTTAAACTTGCGGAGCACTCCCCTACGAGTATATTCTTAGGCTGGTTTCACAGTTGTGCCGTCAGCGCGTTTTAACAGCATGCGCTTCGAATCTGGATTACAACAAATTTGGATTACGTCGAAATCGGAATACGACGAATACGATACGAACGACTTTAAATACTTTAGGGCATCAGTTAGAGATAATATATGAGGATGAAAGCAGGTCAGTTAACCTATCGTGAATTCCACGAGAAGTAACCACAATGGTTTCCAGGGAGAAACACGTGGAGTTTGACCTGATTAGTAAAATTGCTAGCAATGGGGCTGTTAGATCCCATTGCTAACAATCCCTTCCCCTCTAAAGGGCTTTTGGTTACCTACGCCACTGATCCTGTTCGGTTTCGTCATAAACTAAACTTTTCACATGACCGCATATAAAGTTCAGCAGAGTTAAGGGTCATTGGATACCCTTAACTATCTCACACCATAGATCGCGTTTAAGTACAAACTCAATACGTGATACATAATCATTTATAATGATACGCATAGAGTCCAAATTACGCCAACACCTAATCTTTCTTGAAATAATATCACTGCATGCACAGTGATTTGCCGAAAACAAACTACAATTACTAGATAGTTTTAGTCAGTACGCTGTTGTCTACGAGGGACGGTGATGTTCAAGTGTAATTATGATGTCGCGATACCTACGAGCATGTCATATGACTAAACACAACAAGGCACTTTTGTAAAAGCGAATCTCGAGTTTCACGTGAACTACAAACTGGATGCGCCAATATAAATGCTCGCTGTCGCAATACTGCTCTATCATTGGTCATAGGTCACTATGAAAAATTTTATGACATTTCAGACACGAAATTCTATCATTATCGTAACGTATACTCGTATACGTAATACTATATCCCTTTAAAGGAAATACAACTAACACACACACTGTACACTGTATTTCAATTTTTATTAAAACAGACGTGCCCCGCGTAAACCTCAATTTGTAGCTCTGAGTGAGTCGGCGTAAATCGGATTATTACACACAAGCCTCGTTAGGGGGCATCCATTAATTACGTGAGCTCAGAATAGGGGGGGAGGGGTCTAATGAATTCTCACGAAATCTCATTTAAACCGAGGGGGGGATAATCAAAAATCTCACGTCAACTTCAAAAAATTTAAAATATTAAAGATATTACTAAAATATTAAAGATAAACGTTTCCAGTGATTGTCTTCCTGCACTACTAGAAATCCCAGATGATATGTGTCCAATTATTTCGATTGAAAAAATACACGAGTCTCCATGGATTGAGTAAAAATTTAAAAGAAAGTGTTGTTTTTATGTTTTTACTTTGAATTTTATTTAATTTAAATAAATTAATTATAGTATACCTGAAGGATTTATTATTTTCCCGAATAATAAATATAAATGAAGGTTAAAATATTTTTTGCGTCAATCTCACGTAAGGGGGGTTGGGGGGGTCAAGGCAAATTTCACTAAATTTCACCTAAGGGGGGGGGGGAGTCTAAACTGATCGAAAAAGAGCTCACGTAATTAATGGATGCCCCCTTAGTAGTGTTCCTGTCCCAAAACACTTCCTAATATCTTTTTCCTGGGTATTTATTTTTTATATTTCTGGGTATATTCTGTTGCGCAAACGTTTATATCTGGATGTAATTTTTTTATCTGTGATAACATAACTAGTGCCTATTACACACACAACAAAAAGAGCGCGCAATCTGATATAAAGTACATTTTATTTCATGTTGATCTGAAATATAATTGTTTAACAGTGTGGTATTGCCCTTCGCTAATGCGTGACGTCGCAAGTTTTAGAGCTAAAAAATAAACTCCTTCATTATATTGTATATGTGTATATTAACACAGGTTCAGGCTCGCGTCAGTGTCGTAGTGTTCGGTGGTTATAGACGCTCACGATTAAATATTGATTGATTAATGATTTCGAAACTAGTAAAATTTTCTCAACCTAATTACACGTAAATTTAACGCATGGTTATTAATACAATAAGATAAAAAAAAAATTATGCATTAAACATAATACATTTCTAAATTATAATTAGCTATAACGATTTATTTTATCAATAAGAATATTTATCTCTGACTTGTAAATATAATCAACAAGTAAATGAAATTATTGGCAATAGACTCTCTATTTTCATTTCATATACCTGTGTTGCGAATACATAGGTACATTTATATATAATTGTGAGAATGTGTTCGAAGTGCTTCTACTTTACATGTTTCTATTATAAGTATTCATTATACATTGCTTCGTGTAAATAAGGTACCAGGCTCGATTGCCGATAAAATTTGCAGGTAAATATCTATTATTCAATTTATTATACCTTCCAAGTTGTTTTTTTTATTTAAAAGTATTAAAAAACACTGCTTTTATATTAGATACATACTTTAGTTTACATAGTACAGTATGTATCATATGAGGATATGGAACAAATATTAATTGATGTAGCTTAATATATGTACTATATTGGCAATGTATAAGATAATCTATTAATATTACTAAACTTAAGAAACCACAATTATGTTTTTACGAATAAATCTCATTTCATTATATTTATTATTGTTGTTTTTTTTTATGTCTTCATTTCGTATAAAAATATGATAAGTGATAACTCTATCTGATCTATATTTACCGTAAATTAGATAAAGCATAAAGTATCGAACAGTGTATATATCTAAGAACAAGAAATTACATAGAATGAATAATAAAATAAAAACTGTAATTCATATGGTTGCCTCCTTTCTTATTATGCAAATACAATTAGTAAAGAGAGTACGAAAGATAGACCATCAGTTGGTAATTTTCTCAATTCATAGCAGGCTAGTGTATAAAAAATATCTGATATATCAATTATTTATCAATGACACATTTATATTACTAGATTTTATATTTGACACAGTTTATGTAGAAAATATGCAAGCAGGTCGTATCTGAATTTGATAGGGTTATACGGCCGTATAACATTTTCTATATCTATGTAATCTTTCTATGTAATTCTTTGTTCTTAGGCAATAGCCAAAAGAAAAGAGACGGCACTACATACAAGCCATGTAAAACGACTTAGCAATCTACACAAAAAAGTCCTTATGTTGGCCAGTTTGTTGTTCAAATTAAAAATGAATAAGGCTATATTGATACTAAAGTTAGATAGTTTTTAGATATTAATAAAATATAAATATTTTTCACTAAAACGCGAATCATGTGACAAAAGAAATTTATAAATTTTATATCAAATTGCACGTCTCGATGAATATTTTCTTAGCAAAAATAAAACAAAGGATAATATTATTAAATATGTTTATTATTTTATACAATATTACCTTAAGATCCAATTTTGTAATATTATTGATAGTAAACGTAAGTTTTTAATACTTCCCGTAATATCTGATCACATTCTAGAGTAGATCTCGTAATAGAGACCAAATACATAGATTTAAAGATAGGGTGAAAGATACAAAAGATTGATATCAAAACCATGTGAAAATGTAATCAGCTAATTTGATGTTTGGTTTACAATTTTTTTTTTTTAATAAATAACGCTTTCCTCAGGGTTGCAAGTAATCAGATTCAAATTTCCCAAATCAAGCCGATTTTTTTTTTTAAATTTGATGTAAACTATTTTTTCTGTTATAATATAGGCACATAACTATATTATATTCGAACAGATAGAACATTAAGTATCAAAAACATTTAGCCAGCTAAATTGACATTAGTACCACGAAGTAATGTCAATTTATCCTCAATGAGAAATGCAAAAGCACTAAGCCATACAACCTGATTTTCGGACTAAACTGACATTTGATATATTATGGTAACCCTATTCATGGACATATGAATGAAAATATTTACCTAGTTTTGATAAAGCATTTGTATGGAGACACGCTGTCTATATCATATACATATATTCTGAAACAATATACATATTTATAAATAGTATACTCTGTTATGTCCATAGTACTGCTCATGTCTATAGGCGACGGTTACCACATTCCATCAGGTGGGGGCCGTCAGCTTGTTTGCCATTCTAATTTGCATAAAAAAAATATCATTTAAGAAATACACATGTGCATATATTGCTTATAAATTAATATACAAATATAAGCTATATCGGTAGTCATTTTCTATGATTTAGAAACGAGAATATTTTATAGAATTAATTAAAAAATAATACATGTAGTAAATTATTAATGTGAAGTCATACAAAAGGTATTGTTTGTTGGTCATATAAAAGGCATTTGTTATCGCTAAGCAATCTCTTCCAGACGACATTTAGGTAAAGATCATTATGCTTGAATGACTTTCAATTTTATTCTTTGCAGGTTTCCGCAAAGCCACATCCAGAAATGGTAATATCAATACCTAATAACGATATTAACGACAGTGCAGTAAAAAACATGCAGCAAAAGCATGCAGCTGCAACATGTCAACTCCCCAACAACAACGGCAACATCGTAAAGATCTTGGAGCCAGTGAAGTGGTATAGTTATAATTTTATTAGTAACTAACTTCTCATCACGATTTTGTATGTTTATGTTTTAGAAATACATGACTTACATACTAATACTACTTCTAAATAGCGTACCAAAATAAAACGTACACCAAACATATTTAAAAACTACTCAGGCGATTTTAAAAATTCTCTCACTTACAGAAAGCTATACTCGTATTATCAGCGAGTAATATAGTCTACGTATTCATCATCATCATCATATCAGCCGCCAACTGTTCATTGCAGAATATAGATCTCCCCCTATTAGAGGGTTTTGCCAGTAGTTGCCACGTTCGGCAGAAAGGTTGGCAACCGCAGTAACGTTTTGGTGATGTTTAAAAAGGAACGCTGCTGCCCATCCTCCGAACATTAAGTTCCCTTAGTCGCCTCTTACAGTGGACTAATTTTCAAATAGACTTAAGTCTAAATTATTACACAATTGTCGTTAAAGCCATACCTTTATCAGGCAATAAAGAGGGAGTGACTGTAGGGACTGACTAGGCAGCTGTAGATCAGATTTTGGTTGCGCAGCTGAACAGGATTAGATTCTGAAGCGGTCATCACCCTGAGCTATATGACAGGCAGCTGAGAACACTACACATCGTGGGGTCGTAATCTGAGCAGCCTGAGCAGTCTGAGCGGACTGAGCAGTCTAAGCATCCTGAGCAGTCTGAATAGTCTGAGTAGTCGCTTCCAACCACCCCTTACAGCGACCCCTGTCTTCACAACTAAGCGGTTAGCTCGTTGGCAATGCTACACTGAGATCCTGGACATCCTCAACGAGGTCCAGTTTGCCTTTGACGTGACATGGCTGAGTCAGTAGGCTGATACTACGTGGAGTTTCATTAAACTCCTTTTAGCTAACTTAGAATACATTGGAGGACTCAATGCTGAATGTATTTATCGTATTAGAAATCAGACTGAACTTACAGTGATAATCTCAGGAAAGAAATATGCAATTATCAATTGTGGCTCGCCTTCCACGTGATCCCTCAGCAGCCGTCGGGGAAAACATGAAAATAATGCTCCGTCATCCCATAGACAACAGCCTCTTTGTGCCGTCTGTTAAACCCACAGATGCACGGTCTACTATACCTTTCGAGTCTGTGACAAGATCTAATGCGCATATTACACGAATAGAAATTGTTGAGAAAAGAAAAAGGAATCGCGATGATTCGCGACAATAATTTCAGTTTATGATTATTATTGTGCAATGTGATTCCGGCATAGAATAGACCACCCCTTCCTTTTTCGTAGGTGTCGTAAGAATCGACTAAGGGAGGGCGAGAGATGGGCAGCAGCGTCCCTCTTAAAACATCTTTAAAGCCTAACTGCGATTGCCAACCCGCCTGCCAAGGGTGTCAACTATTGGCAAAACCACCTAAGGGGGAGATTTATGTTCAGCAGTTGTCCACTGCTTAAAAGCTGATATGATGATGTTGATTATTATATTTTTTTTTTACAACACGGGGCAAACGAGCATGCGGCTCACCTAATGGTAAGTGACTACCACCGCCCATGGTCACCCACAACACCTACGGCATTGTAGGTGTGCTGCCGACCTTTTAAAAGGAATATGCTCTTTTCTTGAAGGTTATGTTGTCGTATCGGTTCGGAAATACTGCTGCTGGAAGTTGATTCCAAACAGTGGTTTGTGCGTGGGAGAAAGTGCCTTGAAACACGCACGGTGGAAGACTGTCACTCGTCCAGATGATTGGGATGAAATTTTAGTTTATGGCGGGTTGTACGATGGTGAAAATCAGCAGCAGGTATTAATCCGAACAATTCTTCAGAGCACTCCCCATGATAAATTCGTTAGAAGATGCACAGAGATGCAACATCTCTACGCAGTTTCAGTGAGTCGAGTCGGACAGTAAGACGCCGATCGTCAACAATTCGAGCTGCCCGACTTTGAATGCGGTCTAATGGAAGGAGTTGGTACTGTGGCGCTCCTGCCCACAAGTGAGAACAGTATTCCATGTGTGGCCTCACTTGAGCTTTATACAGTTTCAGGCGGTGTTCCGGCGTGAAATACCGTCTTACCCTATTGAGCACCCCCAACTTTTTGGAAGCTATCTTAGCTTTTTCCTCCAGATGACCGCAAAACTGGAGATCGCTAGATATATCGACACCAAGAATCTCCAGACTTGACTTATTATCGAGGGAAGCGCCCTGAAAGTGAGGAGATACGACAAACGGCATATTTTTTGCGGTGAACGCGCAGACTTGTGTCTTCTTAGGGTTGAAGTGTACTAGATTGCGTTCGCCCCATATAATGTACTGTAGTGGAATTTTCAAATTTAAATATTTGGTTAAGAGATAAATTTAGAGGATGGCATCTCTAAATCAAAAGCACTTTTCACTCTAGTTTGATTTAAAACCATAAGCATTTGTCTCTTTAATTTGTATATAGCGTTGCCAGATTGGGTATTTTGTTTGCAATTGTAGGTAAAAAAATTCTGTTCGCGAATTTATAAAGATATTTTGGGTAATATTTTTAGTACTTGCAAATTGTATACAGATATAAATAAGTTATATATTTCCAGTGAAATATACGGCTGAAGGTATGTAACAAAGAAGGTATCTTTTTTTTCGTCGTTCACTTTGTGGCACATGCCAAAACGTAGAGAAAAACGATATATTTTTATATATTGTGTAAAAATATTTCTTATAAAAATATAGAAATATTTCTTATTTAGTTTAGGAGAGGCGTAATCCTCTCCAATTTTTACCATTTTAAATGTCATTATCTAGCCGTTGAGCAAATTAAAGTACTGAGCGAAGAAATAGCATAATAAGTGGGAGCAAATTGAGCTGTACGTAGCGGCATGATATACCTTTATCAGTCCGTCTATCTGTCTGTCACAGTACTGTATTTTAAAAATTACTGGTGATATTAAATTAAAATTTTAAATATTTTTAAATAATGTTATTTCACGGAGATTACAGACGAACATTTTTATTTTTTATATATTTTTTTTTGCCAAGAGGTCCAAATCAGGTATTAAAAATTTTAAAATGAACCTATTAGTTTCAATAGGATATCATATGAAAGAACTTCATTTGCTGGTACTAAAATCAATTTTTATGGTCCCGTACCAAAATGATACAAAGGAGGATACAATGTAGCCTGTTACTTTGTCCATCTGTCACAGCGCTTTATTTCAGCGGCTAATAATCTTGACTATTTAAATTTTCGCGTGATATTAATATTATACCCATACTATCAGTTTAATCACCTATTCTAATGATATTAAGTTACATTAAAATTTGCGTAATTATGCTCCGTTGACACAACCAAACCGTTATCTCAAGGTGAATTGTGTTTTTGTTTTTAGACATATTTACTCAAGCCTTGAAAGACTTCATGTCAGATAATGGAACAGATGATGGGAGAAAATTTCAACCCTAGTTTGTTTGTAGTTTAAAATTCGGCATAATTTAAAGCAGTGTTTTTCAATCTTTTTATGACACGACCCCCTTATTATGTAAAAATATCTAGCGACCCCCTACCCTCCACGGTTTCGAATGTGAATGAATTTTATTATAGTACAATTATGAAGTCTGTACAATTGTATTTATATTCACGGTTATATATCGATAAAATAAAATAAATAATATATAATAAAGTGTCTAAAACAGACATGTAATCGATGTCTGTTATAGATACTATAGTATGTAGATATCAAATAGAAACACTATAATTTATACAACATACGTTTACTATCGAAACGAAGTTACATTTTGAATTCCCAGCGTAAGCGCGCGAGCCAATGCATCGCGTAGCGCGGCGGCGGCGCCGCTAGGCTAACGGTAGCGCATGGGAGGGCGACGCGCGCGGGGAAAACGATCGGAAAGGGGAATTACTCGCGGCCGTTGCGCGGTGGCAGTTTTAAAAGCCCGCGTTACAATACATTGTAACACCGGGCCCCTTATTATATGCACAGTCCTATATATTATTGGTTGATTGATGTATTTACGGAACTGTTGATTTTTCACTGCTTCTCGACCTTTTGCGACCCCCTTGTAGAGGCTCGGGGACCCCCAAGGCGTCGTGACTCACATTTTGAAAAAGACTGGTTTAAAGTGAAACTCGTAAAAATAGTTTTTACACAACAAAATTTAAAAATGTATGGACCTAAATAAGAAACTACAAATTACACTATCATATAATTGTATCTTGTGTCAATATATATAACTCTCGCGTATGACTTTGTACGTAACTGGTTTTATTATTATAAACCGGCTTCAAAAACAAGGAAGTTTTCAGTTCGGTTGTATTTTATTACGTTTGTTACCTCATAACTTCATCATTCATAAACCTATTTGGAAAATTCTTTTTTATATGAAAGGATACACTTACAGTTTGGATCCATTGAAATTTTATCAAAATTCAGTACTTTTGTATTAAAATCAAGACAATTAGTTTTGCTACAATTGAAGTTACTTTTTTGTAGAACACATTATTTACAGGCACGTTACGGGGCCAGAGGAGAGATAGATTTGAGTGATTTTAGGATATATTTCGATAAATAATAAATTTACGCAACTTTAAATTACTTCCAGATCTAATTTTTGACGAATTTGGTTCTATTTCATCTGGCAACACTGATCAAACCCTTATACTAGCGATGGGCCAACTCGTATAGTTTTGAATTCGAATAAACCGAATTGAAATGGTGGCTGATTCGAATCGCAGCTCGAATCAGCTCGCATTCACTTCGTATAGAGTCAATATTGCAGTTGAATATGAACTCAGTAGGTCGGTTACTTAACTCGCTTTAGATTTAAATCGTCAATAGCGCGAACTCGCGGGTTTCAATCAATTCGAATAAAATATACTAGTGTAACGTAGTAAACACTCAGAATTCATATTATAAATCTATTTTAGTTATAGAACAGTTTTGTTCTTTACTTTCGAGCTATTAATTTGAAAGAAAAATACGAAATACTAATATTTAAAATATAGATAATTTACGAAACTTCATTGTATGCGACAAATCTATGGATTGGTAACAGTAACTTGCTTTTCCAGTCATATAAAAATAATAAATATATTATTAGACTTACTTTGACTCCATAAATCTCACTCAACACTATTCTGTTAATTTATAATAAAAAGTGCCAAAATCTCAACTATCACCGCACCATGATATAGCGCGCGGAGTGTAACTGTAAAACACGCTGACAGAAATATCACGCACACGAGAGTCTTGCTCGTTGTATAATGTTTCTGTTGCGTCGCACGCACACAGCCACGCAGCATTCACAGCAACCGAATCGAGTTGACGTTATGACGAACACAGTCGGCCGAGTTGCGTGCTACAGTGATCCGAGCGTAGATCGCATTCATATCACGGTTGTAACGTAGGTAGCGCCGTATTGGCTTTATACGAGTTGATTCGAATTGATAGAAAAGCTAGTTCGAATTGAGCCGGCGGCAATGCAGCTCGAGTAACTCGAGCTTTTTGATTCGAATCGCCCATCGCTACCTTATACAAATTCCTGGTCAATCTGGTCAAAAAATTATGATGTCTTGTCCTCATACCTATGTCTATAGGTTTTATCATATATTTTTTTAAAGAATTTAGTATAAAAATGATTAATTTCTAAACATTTCCATTGGGCTTACAAGGCCTAGTTTCCAGAGCCGCTACAAACTTTCTAAAAAAATTTATAAAGCAATCAACGTCAAACTATACATAATACCCATTCGATACGAAACTTGTACTAAAACGTACGGACATTATTGTAATGTTTTTATATTTACAATGGATTCAAAAAATTTTAGTGCGAGTAAACAAACGCTTAATAAGGACAACCGTTACCCTATAACAACCAAGGCGACCCTGATAGTTTTATTATGGAAGCAAGGAATTGTCCGATTATCCAGATTTCTACATACAGGAATTGAATGGAGTTCAACAACATTGTTTTTTATAATATTATTCTTTCTGAAAAATGAGTTGATGCCTCCTACATCAACGTACATTGGTGAATGTGATAATGTCAAAAGCACAGTAAGTATTTACCCACATACTTTCTATTATTGTACATATTCAATTAATGATGTGTTTAGTTTCACTTACTCCTTATTAATATGATAAATGTTAAATTGAGTTTGTTTGTTTGTACCTAAAAAATACATCAAAACTTTTCTTAGTAATTTTACATGATCGTAGAACAAACATACAGATAGACAAATATTTTTTTCCAAAAGTTATTGCTATTTCCTTGGTCTTGTTTATCCCTTTGTTATTTTTTCTTGAATATCTCCAATATACAGACATTGTCTTGTAATAATTTTAGTATATTACATAGAGGGAGGGAGGCAAATAGAAAAGCAAATATGCAACTTAAAATGGTAAACAAGTTGACAACCCACCTCATGGAAAGTGGAAACCATCACCTATAGATATGAGCAGTACCATGAACATAACTGAGTACACTGTTATCCTGTTTCCTCCATGATGCTTCCCAAGCGTTACCATTCCTGAGGACTCAGGCATTATTACTCTGTACCCTGTAAATTCACTGCCCACACCCACCCTTCAAACTGAACCACAGCCATACAAACACAACTGTTTCACATTAGAAACACGAATGGGACAGTGGTGCCCAAACAAATGACTTTTGTACAAAGTCTCCCTCTGATAAAATTTATTGGTATTTATGGGTTTATATATATTAGTAATAATATGGGTACTTATTTTTATTTTTAGTACTTATTTTTAGTAAATGTACTACCTACTTAATTTTCTGCTTTTTCATGGTTAACTGGTAGCAAACACCATTAGATGTTAAGTCCGCTATATGTACACTTACTTATATAATTGTACATTGAAGTTTAAATAAATCAATTTTTTACAACACAGGGGGCAAACAAGGCTCACCTGATGGTAAGTGAGTACCGCTACTCATGATCACCAACAAAACCAACGGCATTGCAAGTGTGCTACCAGCCTTTTAAAAAGGAATATGCTCTTTCTTGAAGGTTATGATGTCATATCGGTTCGAGAATACTGCTGCGGAAAGTTGATTCTAAACAGTGGTTGTGCATGGAAGAAAGTTATTATATTATTAATATATCTCTGTTTTTTTTTTAGGAAGAGAAATTCATGGAAGAGTATAAAACACCGCGATTCATTCTCTACACACCACCCAATAATGTAACCAATCAATTGATGGCTATGACTGCAAAAATATTGCAACTAGAAAATAACACATACAATCTAGGTATGTAGAATATGTAGTAAATAGCATGTCTCTCTCATTTTTCACAGATTCATATATTTCAGCTTTCTCTTTATTTTAACCTCATGACTTTAAATTTGCCATACCATTCTGACAGAATAGGCCACCCTTTCTGGTGAGTATCATAAGAGGCAACTAAGAGAACATATAGGTCAAGAAATGGGCAGTAGTGTCCCTCTAATACCTACCAGAGAGAGATTTTGTACAAAAGTCGATTGCTTGAGTACCTCTGTCCCATTTGTGTTTCTACCGTGAAGCAGTTGTGTTTGCATGGCTGTGTTTCGGTTTGAAGAGTGGGATATGGCGTGAATTTACAGGGTACATAAAAATGAAAACACAATTTGCATAACACCTGAGTCCTACGGAAAAGCAACGCGTGGGGGGTATCATGGGCGAAACAGTATACTCTGTTATGTCCATGGTACTGCTCATGTCTATAGACGACGGTTACCACTTTCCATCAGGTGGGTCGTCAGCTTGTTTGCCATTGTAAGTTGTATAAAAAAAAAAAAACACCAAATCATACAACCGAATTGAGAATTTCTTTCAAAATATAATTTTATTGAGCACTCCATGGTCTAAAGTCTAGGCTGTGCTTGTTCAACAATAGATAATTGAAATAATGACACATTATGTGATTCAGTTGATGGATGGAGGTAATCTATGGTGTTGGAATACTCACAGTTCAGTGATCACAAGGTCGAACTGTTTAGGTTGAGACTCATTATTTTGTAATGTATTGAATTGTAGGCAGCTATTGTAAAATTTTCAAACAATTCTCAACTTACCTATAGACGCATTCTGCATGATGCATGGGCATTACAGAATACAATGTGACTCCTACAATATGATGCCATTCCCAAAAACTAAACTGTTTCTGATAGCTTTACCGTCATGTCCCTCCCTTCAAGTTAACACGTAGCTGTGTGAGCGTACAGCGTTCTAAGTGCCCATGGTCAATGCCACTGTGAGCACAGCAGTTTGATGGCAAAACACTAATGGGATAGAAGTATCCATAGAATTTGTAAAATCCCTCTAGTAAAGTTATGGATGAGATATGGTGGCCGGCAACGCACGAGTAATGCTCCTGGTGTTACAGACATTCTTAGACTACGGTGGTCGTAAGCGACTACCGTAGTCTAAGAATGTCGCTTACCATTCAAATGAATCGTATGGTTAATATAAAATACTTTTCCCCACTAAAAGTTGAGAAATAACTTACAGAAAAGACTTACAGCTTCCTTTACTGACGGGCAGAAGTATAAGAACCAAGGAGACCACATATGATGGACCAATGATAATCATAAATATTTTATTCCAGAACATAGTGTCAGAGGTTACTATCCTGCCGTAAATGACGCTTCAATTATGAACTACATGAAAGGAATGAAAGATGATGAAGCTATTGTCATATTTCAGGTAAAGAATGATGAGATGAAATATTTACATCTGTATGAGTTAGGGTGCTACCTTAACTCATGCAAATGTAATTGTTGTGGTGTTTATGGAGTAGGCTTCTCGTGTAAGATGTTCTCAAGCCAGAATAAAATTGCCAACCCTTGGGGATCGTCCATTAATCACGTGACGTTTTTTAGCATCTTTTTAACTCTCTATTCTTCTGTGGATGGTCACGTTTCACCTTTTATCATGCACTGAACTCCGAGCATAACATCCTTCATTGCTGTGCGAGCATGTCGTAGTTCCATAAGTCGTCACTAACAACACGTTTTGGTTTAGGCTTTATGGTATTTTGTAAAAGGTACGACATAGTTCCCTGAATGGTGCATGGCAGAGTTGGATTTATCACTGAACTCTCAAAAAAACTTGGATTTTTGCATATGATGGAAGAATAACTGTATATATATAGTGTAATAGCCACTAGTGGGTACCATAGACTACACAATAAATATATTTCTACCACCATATTTATATTGTTGTTTCTACCTGTAGGCGTCAGTTGTTACTTTCATTAGGTCGACCATTAACATTATTTTCATTCTTTGCAGTACAAATATCTATAGATATTTGACAGATAGATAATCTTTATTACCACTAATGAAATTTAAAAAAGTCACAATAAAAAGAAAAAAAAACAATTAATTTTGCTGGTAATAGGTATTAATATTCAATTGTTTACTTGCAGAACAACGGCAGTTTTCCCTGGAAATTAAACTACACAATAAGAATGAAAACCCCATTTCAAACAAATATATACGAGTCAATGGATGGGAGCTTCGTCCCACACATGCAGTTTGGTATGTTTATTTTTATTTTCTACTACCTCGTTGCTCGCGGCTCTGCTCGTGCGAAGCTATTCATATATTATTTAGTATACGGATTTCAAATCATTATTATCATTAAATTCTATTTTTAAATATTAATCCTAAAATATAATAGAGAATAAATCTTTGTTACATATTTTTTTACACAACTATACTAATATTAAAAAGATTTTTTTGTATGTTTGTAAGGAATTAACACAAAAACTATTGGACCGATTTCAAAAATTCTTAAACCATTAGAATTCAACGTTATCCCTGAGTAAAATAGGCTATATATTATTTTCGAAAATTCTATCTTATCTGTGCGAAACCGGGTCGGATCGCTAATATTATATAAAATACTAATTATTTATTTACGTCAAAACTAGGCTTCAAACAGATAGGTAGGTACCTTTTTTGATTGACGTATATTGTTTCAATTTTTTTTTAATAAAATACAGCCTTGATAATTATAGCTTTCTATAAGTGAAAGAATTTATAGAATTGGATAAATATTTTTTGTATACCACTGAGGTGACAAACAAGCATACGGCCCACCACAATGGTAAGCGGTTACAGCAGCCTATGAACGTCTGCAGTATCAGGGCCATTACGCGCGCGTTGTCGACCCTGAAGAAACCTCTTTACCCCTATTTTGAAGAACTCCATGCTGTAGTCGCTTGGAGAAACTTCGACAGAGAGCTCTGTGATGTATATCGTGCAAATAAATATACATATCTTTCTTCTTTATGATATTAATTTAAAAATCGATATCCGTACATACGCCCCTATTGTTTGAAGCCCGAGATATACGTACTTGTATTGTTGAATGTTAAAATGGCTGTGTTGTGTGACAGGAATAGATAATCTTAATTATAAGTATGTGGAAGGAGGTTAAAAGAATTTAAATAAACATTAGAAATAAAGACAATGGTACAATATACAAGCATTTTAAATAATATTACGTATGTTACTAAACTAGATGTCATTTTGCGGAAGTTCATATCACTGGTTAGTCGATTAGAATTGTTTTGTTTAACTCCATTGTTTCTTGTATACAATGTTATTTCTCTGCAAAAAAAAAAAAAAAACACGAAACTGATAATTTTACGCAAATTATATTTTCCACTTTATATGAGATGATTCGGATATTCTCAAAAACCTATCTATCTAATTTTTTTATTAATTATTCTATTTTACCCAGATATCACGAATAATACACTCGGAGATCGAAAACCCAGTGCCAAAGGTTCCATTTTACATATATCTCAACCCCAGATTTTATGAATAATACACTCGGAAATTGAGAACCCAGTGCCAAAAGTTCCATTTTATATACATTTTAACCCCAAATACCACGAATAATACACTCGGAGATCGAAAACCCAGTGCCAAAGGTTCCATTTTACATATATCTCAACCCCAGATATTATGAATAATACACTCGGAGATTGAGAACCCAGTGCCAAAGGTTCCATTTTACATATATCTCAACCCCAGATAGTATGAATAATACACTCGGAGATTGAGAACCCAGTGCCAAAAGTTCCATTTTATATACATCTCAACCCCAAATACCACGAATAATACACTCGGAGATCGAGAACCCAGTGCTAAAGGTTCCATTTTATATACATTTCAATCCCAAATATCACGAATAATACACTCGGATATCGAGAACCCAGTGACAAAGGTTCTATTTTACATACATATATCTCAACCTCTTTTTCCTCACTTGTCGAATATTTTTATTTAATACCTCGTATGTACAAAAAATATATTCATCAAATGTCGATTTTTAATACTTCTTTATTTATAATATTTTATTATTTTATTTTATTATTATATAATTTCGTAATGTGTAAATGGTACAAAAAAAATTAAAATTAAATCATTGTAATTTTTATTTTTAGTATTTGCACGCTTGACGTAAGTAGATTTAACTTATAAGATCAAATGTTTTATACCCAAAATCATTGCAAATAAAGTTATTATTATTATTATTATACTACAGCTCAACCAAATGTTATTTAATTTAGTATACATAGTGTTTTGTGGAGGAGCAAAATTATGATAGTGGAGGAAAGATTCAAATTTCGCGAAATTGATGTTCGCCTGAGATGCAGTAATGACTTCATTATAGATTTGCCTTGTTTTAATACTCAAAGCTATGCCATGTCATTTACTGTACATGCTGCACGTCTCTGGAATTCACTTCCTAATAACTTAAAGATGGCACAGTCGCTGAAATCTTTTAAAGCAGGTATCATAAAATTTTATTTTGAAAATCCCTCTTCATTGAGCCAATTGTGAATATATGTATTTATTATGTATACATGTATGTGTATGTAGGAGTGTATATATGTATGTGTATGTATGTATATATATGTATATATATATGTATATGTATATGTATGTGTGTATATGTGTATATATGTATGTGTATGTGTATAAGTTTTTATTTATTAATGTTATATTATAATTAATTTACTTTTATTATTTACATATGTAGGTATATAGAGCTGTTTTTATTGTGTTATATATTCAATTTTTTTTTTTTTTTACTGGGTATTATTTAGTTTATCTTTAATTGTACGGTTATTACCCTTATACATTCTACAGTTTTCTTTCAGCTTCTCAAAGGTTGACTGTAAGAGATCCCTTTATGGGATAAGTCCGCCATTGTATACTAAATCATTTACTAGTATTTAATCTGACTTATGTACAATAAAGATTTTTACAATACAATACAATGATAATAACATACAGTATTTATGATGTAGATAAAGGGCATGGGCTATTAATAGTTCCGGTCATAAAAGCTTTTTTTATGCAACTTAGATTGACAAACAAGCTGACGGCTCACCTAATACAAAGTGGTAACCGTCGTCTATAAACATGAGCAATACCATGGACATAACAGAGTATACAGTTTCGCCCATGATACCCCCCATACGTTACCATTCCTGAGAACTCGGGTGTTATTTCTCTGTACTATGTAAATTCACTGTCATATCCCACTCTTCAAACTGAAACACAGCCATGTAAACAACTGCTTCACGGTAGAAACATGACGGACGAATAGGTACGTAAGTCTAGACAGAGTAATTGTTGTGCTATATAGAGCCCAACCCACCGAGGCAATGTAATCGTTCTGATAACATTGAACTACCTATATATGTATATATACTATGTTAGTACATAGTTATACGTATTTTATACTATATAGCATTCTCTTCCAAACAACCTTTGGTAAAACAGAAATTTAATGATGCGGTGAAAAAATAGAAAATTGTTGCAAATAAATATTTACACGTACGTATCGCTATACTTAGAAATCACAACACGTACAATGGAGAACTTACTGCACATTATGATTATGTAAATATACATACATAAATGCCTGTTAGCGCAAATGGGGTAACCATTCCATTATCATCTATTAAAAAAAATATGCACACACTGGGTCCCCTGCCTACTTTTGCGTACGGAGAGTAGATGCGGGTCTCGAATAAAAACTACCTGTGTATACCGCGAAGGCTTACAGTTAGTCGTTTAAGCCTGTAAAGCTAAATCTTTATTTTACTCATAAATCAAACGGTATTTTTTTTTTATATATATCTATATATGTTATTTCAATAACATATGTAGATATATATAAAAAAAAGTAGCAGTGCAGCAATATATATATATATATATATATATATATATATATATATATATATATATATATATATATATATATATATATATATATATATATGGTGCTTGTTCATCATAACATTACAATGTAAACAGTATGTACATCAGCTAAAAAGTACATAGTCGCATTTCAACTCCCATTATAAACATTACACATTATAAATAAATAAACTCCTTTTTTTTATTTAAAATTGTGTGGATTCGTAATAGTAGGTATGCTGCTTTGGCTTAAATAAATTTTATACATGTGACTGTCCGCGTAAACAGGATAAAATAATGGCCTATGTACTTCTCCATCCCAAATAGTACGAACTATTAGCTGTACTTCGCGACTTTGATCGCGTGAATCGGTACATAAAATATCCTGTACCTTTCTTTCAAATTAGTTCAGTGGACCTAATAGTCGTATAAGGAGGGGGGGGGAAGGATTGTTAGCAATGGAATTTGACAGCCCCATTGCTAGCAATATACCTTATTAGGTCGACCTCCACGTGGTTCCCCCTGAAAACCATCGTGAACAATTCTTGTTGAATTCGTCACGATGGGCTAACTGACCTACTTCATCCTCACTTATCATCCTTCATTGGTCCCCCACCGGTGTATACCGATAGCGCGGGTGGGGTTACCATTCCATTATCATCCATTAAAAATACTCGTATAAGTGGTCGACTATGAGTCACCGATGAGGATCAAAAATGTGCTTAAAACCGGACCGCATAACTAAGATTGTTTATGCAGATATTTTGGTAATATTGCAAAAACTGTACTAGGTAGATATGCCATTTTATTATTCTAATAAATTATAAATAATTCCTATAGGCCACTCACAGATATTTATATCTACATAATTATTATATAATTATATAAACACAAACACACATACATACATAATTTATACTTTATTATATATTTATTCTATAACTGACAAAAATGTCGTATCGGACGACACACCGCGTTGTGCATTGGAGATGTGCACAAAACCGGTTTTTAGCCGCCATGACAAGGTAACTGCGTGAGCGCTTCCCCCCTCACCGCGACAGTCGAAATTCTACCGCTTTGTTTATTATTTGTGTCGCTCGATATCTCACCGCTTTGTAAATGTTAACATCGTGCTTATTAACTTTCATCCTTGTCTATCACTATATCATTCTTCTTTCACTCCTTCTTTCTATTGTGTTGTTGACTGTATTGTGTGTAATCTTCCTGTGCATTAAACCACTGTGCTAGCTGCTTGGACTGCTTATTTTCATCGCTTGACAAACATCATCGATACGCGGCTTATCAACGCAGCC